AGAGTCCAGAGTGGACAGCATGAAGCGGAGAGTGGTGACGTTGTAGTGCGCAAAGTGTGAAGAAGTCTAGAGCGCGGAGTAAAGAGTTCAGAGTGTGAAGTGCCGAGTGTAAAGGGTTAGAGTGTGACATGTACTGTGTGCAGTTTTACTTGGAGAGTGCATGGTTGGACAGCGCGAAGCGTAGAGTGTGACGTGTAGTGCGCAAAGCGCGGAGAAGTCTAGAGTGTGGAGTAAAGAGTTCAGAGTGTGAAGTGCCGAGTGTAAAGCGTAGAGTGTGAAATGTTCTGTGTGCAGTTTAACTTGGAGAGTGCATGGGTGGACAGCGCGAAGCGGAGAGTGTGACGTGTAGTGCGCAAAGTGTGAAGCAGTCTAGAGCGTGGAGTAAAGAGTTCAGGGTGTGACGTGCCGAGTGTGAAGCGTAGAGTGTAGAGTGTGACATGTAATGTGTAGAGTGTGAAATGTACTGTGTGCGGTTTCTCTTGGAGAGTCCAGAGTGGACAGCATGAAGCGGAGAGTGTGACGTGTAGTGCGCAAAGTGTGAAGAAGTCTAGAGCGCGGAGTAAAGAGTTCAGAGTGTGAAGTGCCGAGTGTAAAGGGTAGAGTGTGACATGTACTGTGTGCAGTTTTACTTGGAGAGTGCATGGTTGGACAGCGCGAAGCGGAGAGTGTGACGTGTAGTGCGCAAAGTGCGGAGAAGTCTATAGTGTGGCGTAAAGAATTCAGAGTGTGAAGCAGTTTAACTTGGAGAGTACAGAGTGGACAGCGTGAAGCGGAGAGTGTGACGTGTAGTGCGCAAAGCGCGGAGAAGTCTAGAGCGCGGAGTAAAGAGTTCAGAGTGTGAAGTGCAGAGTGTAAAGCGTAGAGTGTGAGATGTACTGTGTGCAGATGAACTTGGATAGTACAGAGTGGACAGGGTGAAGTGGAGAGTGCGACGTGTAGTGCGCAAAGTGCGGAGAAGTCTAGAATGTGGAGTAAGGAGTTCAGAGTGTGAAGCGCCGAGTGAAACATGTAGAGACTGAAACGTAATGTGTGCAGTTTAGCTTGGAGAGTGCATGGGTGGACAGCGCGAAGCGGAGAGTGTGACGTGTAGTGCGCAAAGTGTGAAGAAGTCTAGAGCGCGGAGTAAAGAGTTCACAGTGTGAAGTGCCGAGTGTAAAGTGTGAAATGCCGAGTGTAAAGCATGAGGTGTAGAGTAGAGAGTGTAACGTGTAAGGAAGTGCAACGCGTGATGTGTACCGTGGCGGTCTGGTGTGAAGAGTGTGAAGTGTGAAGCGTAAAGTGTGATGTGTGCTGCGTTCGGCGCGGAGTGTAGAGTGTGAAGTGTAATTTGCGGTGTGCAAAGTGTTCGGTGTGGCGTGCTGTGTAAATTGAAATGCAGGGTGCTGAGTGTAGTGTGTAAGCGTTGAGCTTAGGGTGTGAAGTGTCGGGTGTGAAGCGTAAACTTTGAAGTGTGAACTGTGGAGTGCAAAGCGTAGAGTTTAGTGTAGAGTGTGAAATCTAGAGTGTAGAGTGTAAAGCGTAGAGTGTGGAATATGAGTGTAACGTGAAGAGTGTGAAGCCTAGAATGTGGCATGTTGTGTGTGAAGCGTAAAGTTTGACATGTACAGCGTCGAATGAAGTGTAGAGAGAGCGGAGTGTAGAGTGTGCAGCGCTAAGTGTGAAGTGCGAAATGTCGGTTTTGACTTGTTCAAGGCTTGGTCCCGAATGAATGGGTCCTTAAATCAATGCCTTTGGGTTGGTGGATCCTGTGAACTCTCAGTGGGCAGGAAGCATTGAACCAAGCTGCGCCAGCCACCCAATAGACAATGAAATTAAGACAAAATCAGATTTGCCCACAAACTTTTTCGAAACTGCCTATTCAATGTATTCTGTATTCATTTTGAACCCTGCTAGACTGCTAGACCCACACGCATGGAGCATGCACCAAATGCAAATCTGCTGGTGCATGGCCGAAGGGCAGCAAGACGCTCAGCACCACGTCCTGAGAGGCTGTGGCGGTTTCCAGACTGACCAGGTTAACTTAGGCCAAAAGAAAAAACAAAACACAGTAGTATCATATGATATCGATAGGTGCTGGTTTAACGCTTGGAACTTCTGCCACTCGTCTATTTGCAAACAATCAAAATCGAAGATGAGGTGATGAACCGCGATGAATTGCTACGAATCAAGATGAATGTCATAACTTCGAAAGAACGTGAGATCATATTGAAATATTTGATGCCAAGGTATTGCTGGCGTGAAGAACTTCGCAGGCAGCGGGACCATCGCGAAGTAGAAAAACATTTTTTCATGGGTCCGGAATGCCCAAAGATGGGAGTTTTTGCAAAAGCCCTATCAAAAATAGAAACCGGAAAACGAATCATAGAAATAGCATTAGTTGCCCAGTACCACCCATAGCGTGCTCGGATAAAAAGTAATAAAACGGAACGTTTTGAGACTGTGATGCTTGATCGATGTTCAGCAAGGCAGGGGTGGTAGCCCCTAAAAACCAGCAGCTTTCCAATGTTATCTCGTTGTTTTGGAACCTGCTTAGATCCCATTGATGGAACCGGCGTTGGGTCGATTCAAAGGTTTGTTGCGAAGTATACCCGGCTACCGACACCATGGTTTTCTCAGGCCCCAAGGTGCAATATGCAGGTGACTCCCACGGTCCCGCGTGAATTTAACTTTCAACTTTCAAACCGTGTCACCAATCACGTCATATTATGTCCGATCATGTCGCGAATGGTTTCGCTACATATTTCACGATGGTCAATATGCCTCAATGTGCAATGGCGGCCACTGTGGCTCCCAACGCCGATGTTGATGATTGGAGCTTTCCACGGCCACGCAAGTGCCTGGCTGAAGCCATAAAGCCTGCCAGGTCCGGCCAGGTCTTGACTAGACTTGGGCCAAATCGCGCAATTTAGTATGCATTATAGTCTCGCGATTGGACTTGCGCTGTCAATATCCGCCAACCCCAGGCAATTGCAGGGGGAGCGCGTCCGAGAAAAAGGGCGCCTTTCACAGAGGTTTTCTAGTGGCTTCAGAAAGCGACGTTAAGCACTCGCTTCCCTTCAAATACCTCCCCGCACCCTCCGAATGCTTCCGGGCGCCCCCCCACGGGTTTTCTACTAGCTTCTGCATGCTTCCGGGTGCTTCCACAGAAGTTTTCTGGTGGCTTCAGAAAGCGATGTTAGGCACTCGCTTCCCTTCAAATGCTTTTAGGCGCCATCCGAATGCTTCCGGGCGCCCCCCCAGAGGTTTTCTACTGGCTTCTGCATGCTTCCGGGCGCTTTCACAGAGGTTTTCTAGTGGCTTCAGAAAGCGACCTTAGGCACTCGCTTCCATTCAAATGCCTCCGGGCGCCTTCCGAGTGCTTCCGGGCGCCCTCCCACAGGTTTTCTACTGGCTTCTGCATGCTGCCGAGCGCTTTCACCGAAGTTTTCTAGTGGCTTTTGTCAGCGATGTTAGGCACTAGCTTCCATTCAAATGCCTCCGGGCGCCTTCCGAGTGCTTCTGGGCGCCCTCCCACAGGTTTTCTACTGGCTTCTGCATGCTGCCGAGCGCTTTCACCGAAGTTTTCTAGTGGCTTTTGTCAGCGATGTTAGGCACTAGCTTCCCTTCAAATGTCTCCGGGCGCCCTCCGAATGCTTCTGGGCGCCCTCCCAGAAGTTTTCTACTGGCTTCTGCATGCTTCCGGGCGCTTTCACAGAGGTTTTCTAGTGGCTTCAGAAAGCGACGTTAGGCACTCGCTTCCATTCAAATGCCTCCGGGCGCCCTCCCAGGTTTTTTTTTACCGGCTTCTGCATGCTTCCGGGCGCTTTCACAGAGGTTTTCTAGTGGCTTCAGAAAGCGACGTTAGGCACTAGCTTCCGTTCAAATGCTTTTGGGCGCCATCCGAATAATTCCGGGCGCCCTCCCACAAGTTTTCTACTGTCTTCTGTATGCGTCCGGGCACTTTCACAGAGGTTTTCTAGCAGCTTCAGAAAGCGACGTTATAAGGCACTCGCTTCCCTTCAAATGCCTCCGGGCGCCCTCCGAATGCTTCCGGGCGCCCTCCCAGAAGTTTTCTACTGGCTTCTGCATGCTTCCGGGCGCTTTCATAGAGGTTTTCTGGTGGCTTCAGAAAGCGATGTTAGGCACTCGCTTCCGTTCAAATGCTTTTGGGCGCCATCCGAATGCTTCCGGGCGCCCTCCCAGGGTTTTCTACTGGCTTCTGCATGCTTCCGGGCGCTTTCATAGAAGTTTTTTAATGGCTTCAGAAAGAGACGTTAGGCACTAGCTTCCCTTCAAACGCCTCCGGGCACCCTCCGAATGATTCCGGGCGCCCTCCGATTGCTTCCGGGCGCCTTCCCAGCGGTTTTGTACTGACTTCTGCATGCTTCCGCACGCTGTCACAGAGGGTCAAGCGCCCTTGGAATGCTTCCGGGCGCCCTCCTAGAGCTTTTCTACTGGCTTCTGCATGCTTCCGGGCGCTTTCATAGCCGTCTTCTTTAGTGGTTTCAGAAATTCTCTCTTATTGATTTTTGCCATCAGCTCTTGCCATTCCACGCATAAGTTGTTTTCCCCTACCTGTTGCCTGCCTTATTAGTTTGACCCATGCTGAACATGCCACTTCTTTCCAAATGTCCCACCAATAATTTTGTCTCACTCCAGTTTTGAAATATAATTCGCGATGCTTACTACTACAAAAAATCACAGTTGCTTCTTGAATGGGTTTCTCTTTTTAACACTAAGGTTCACTCCCAATCTTCCTCACCCCGTCTTCCCTGCTGCACCGTGGTTTTTTGTCACTCTACTCTACTTTAAATCATCATTCAGTGAAACACAGGCAGCGGCCGCATAAAGAACTCACTTGCAAGAAGCAATCCAAAAACATATCAAAAACAACATGGGGCCTGGGATGCCAAGTTTACTGCATATGGCATACAAACAATTACCTGTAGGTACTGTATGTGATGGAGTCTCACAAGTTGGTGTTGTGACAACAGGGGTCGGCGGCAGGAGGCGGCAGCCCTTTATTGATATTTGGTGCATTTGAATCCAACCACTCTATCTGATATTCCGGTCACTGGGGTTACTGCAGTCTCAGCTGTCCTTTGCCGGCGCACCTGGCCCGCATCCTGACACCCGACCCCACCGAAGCCAAGGAGCACAATGATGAGAGTAGTCAAGCTTGTTTGTGCAGATTCATTGTCAGTTGCCACCACGATTACCAAGCAAAAACCTCGCACAAGATGCAAGCTTGCAGCCAGTTTACGGCACTTATTTTTTTGAGACAAACTTGATAGTTTCAGGATATCAGACTACAACAAGCAACAAAAACGACATATAGCACAGCGCGAAACAGCATCGCAGAGTCACTTGGATTCATGATATTCGCCGCGCGACGAGCGGATGAAAAACTCTCGGTAACAAAAAAAGGTACTTGTCGAAGACGCCTTCTTTCAGCAGAACGAACATGGTCCATCACAAAGCAAACCGCAAAGCAGATGCGGGTGACAAGAGCTAGAGCCAACTTAGGCAGACCCTTGAATCGAACCTAATGGCAATCGTTTTCCTAAGCTTTAGTTGATGCCCGCGAAGTCTCATCGCACTATAGCAAGAACAGAAAAACCTATCATGCAAGGTCAATCGCAACCGCAAATCGATAATGCCGGGGCATACCCCCACAACGCCGGATGCGAACAGAATCTGAATGCAACTAGACGACGGGATGGCCGGAGAGCATGCCTTTGCCCTCATCAAGGAAGCATACTACAGTTATTCAAAAAAATAAAAGCGCATGAACCCCCCCTTGGTTTGGCCACAATCGAAAATCGAATTTGGGGTCGAGTAAAGTTGGTTTAGATGTAATTTAAGCTACATGAAGTTTAGTTCAAATATTTTCACCATGGCAAACAAAAAGCTAAAAGCACATAAAATCACAAGAACTATCTGCGGGGACGCTTTATATCAGTGCTCTGTGGACAAGAGCTGTTTCAAACCTGTTTGAATTTGAAATCCTAAGAGACTTCTTGCGGGGGAGGGGGTGCCCGCCCATATAAATCGCTCCTAAGATGAATTAATTTTGATGATGCTAGGGGTTCGAAGCTTGTATGGATGTTGTACCGGCACCCGTTCATAACCCATGGGACCTGGTTGGACGCTTTACATGTCAGTACAAAATTTGTGCGTGAATAATCCGCCGACCCCAGCCGACAGCAGGGGGATCGCGTCAAAGAAGACATTACAAGCAGCAAGTGTGGACGATCAGTCGGCTGTTGGAATCCAGCGGCAAGAGCCAGAAGCTAGAGCGGGAAGGCCGGAAAGCAAAAGGCACAAGGCCAGGAAACAAGAAACAAGAAGCAAGAAAACCGGCAACACACGAAAGACGGAAACATGACACACAGAGTAAGAACAAGAAAGGCAGCAAAAGCAAGAAGCCAGCACACAAGGAGCAAGAGCAAGAAGCAAGCACAAGAAAGCCGGAAACACGAGACAACATCGTGTAAGAATAAGATAGTCACGGCGAGAGGACAAAGCCAGCACATAAGGAGGAAGACCAAAAAGCCTGCACAAGAGCAAGGCCTCAGTGGCATGGTGTTTCGGTGTTGCGAGGCGAACGTTTTGGAGTCTTGACGGCTGCAATTTGGGGGCTAGTTTCTGATGGGTTCAGACAGCAACGTTAGGCATAGGCAGCCGCAATCCGAAGGCTTGGTCTGTCCTTCACTTACATGGTGTTTCGGTGTCAACATTAGGCACAGGCAGCCGCAGGCCGAAGACCTGGCCCCTCCTTCACTTACGTGGTGTTTCAGCGTGGCAAGGGCAGGGTTTTGGAGGCTTGAAGGCTGCAATTTGGAGCTCCGTTCAGTTGCGTAGTGTTTCGGCGTGGCGAGGCCAAGGTTTTGGAGGCTTGAAGGCTGCAATTTTTTTTGTCGGTTCAGAAAGCAACGTTAGGCACAGGCAGCCGCAGGCCGAAGGCCTGGTCCGATCTGGTCCGTCCTTCAGTTGCACGGCGTTTCGGTGTGGCGAGGCCAAGGTTTTGGAGGCTTGAAGGCTGCACTTTGGAGCTACTTTCTTCTTGGTTCCGATAGCAACGTTAGGCACAGGCAGCCGCAGGCCGAAGACCTGGCTCCTCCTTCACTTACGTGGTGTTTCAGTGTGGCAAGGGCAGGGTTTTGGAGTCTGGAGCTAGTTTCCCACATCTTTGTGTGGGGTTCTTGTTTTTGATTCTGTATCTCGCTCCTCGTCCTCGTCCTCCCTCTCCGCCGCCTCGCTGTCACACGCACGCACACACACACAACTTTGTCACACGTACACACAACTTTGTCACCCGCAACTTTGTCACACACAATTTTGTCACACACAACTTTGTCACGTATCATACAACTTTGTCACATACAACTCTGTCACACACAACTCTTTCACACACAACTTTGTCACAGACAATCTTTCACACACACAAGTTTGCGACACACAATCGTTCACACACAACTTTGTCACACGCGCACACACACACACCCCTTTGTCACACACCATCTTTTACATACCACTTTGTCACACACACACAACTTTGCCACACGCCATCCTTCACATACCACTTTGCTACATCCACCTGCGTGGCAAGTGTTGCATGTGGCGACATCCGCCTTCGTTTTGCGTGGCACGCGTGGCGCTTTTGAGACTGGGCTGGCTCTCGCTTGGGCGCCGTTGGTCGCCCGTGGCGCCGCGGCACTTTGCGTGGCAGGCCTGGCGCTTGGCGACATAGACCTTCGTTTTGCGTGGCAGGCGTGGCGCTTATGACACTGGCTTGGCTCTGGTGGCGCGCTGGGTCCCCGCTGGTCGCCCGTGGCGGCGCGGCACTTTGCGTTGCAGGCTTGGCAGTTGGCGACAGCGACCTTCGTTTTGCGTGGCAGGCATGGCACCTATGACACTGCGCTGGCTCTGGTGGCGCACTGGGTCCCCGCTGGTCGCCCGTGGCGGCGCGGCACTTTGCGTGGCAGGCTTGGCGGCATCGGCCTTCGTTTTGCGTGGCAAGCATAGCGCTTGTGAGACTGGGCTGGCTCCCGTGGCGCTTGGGCGCCGTTGGTCGCCCGTGGCGCCGCGACACTTTGCATGGCAGGCGTGGCGTCTGGTGGCATCAACCTTCGGTTTGCGTGGCAGGCGTGGCGGCCCTGGCGCTTGGTGGCATCGATGTTTCGTTTGCGTGGCAGGCGTAGCACTTGGTGACATCCCGCTGCAAGTTAGTCCATCTCTCTCAAATAGGATTTTGTCACGCACACACAACTTTGTCACACGCAATCTTTCACACACATCTTTCTCACATGCAGCTTTATCGCACGCAGCTTTGTCACACACAACTCTTTCGCACACAGCCTTTTCACACACATCTCGCTCACACACACACAGCTTTGTCACACACAACTTTGTCACGCATGCAATCTTTCATGCACATCTCTTTCACATGCAACTTATCTCTTACACATCTTTGTCACACGCAACTTTGTCACACACACACAGTTCTTTCACGCGCAACTTTGTCACAGACAACTTTGTCGCACACACACACAACTTTGCCGCACACAACTCTTTCACACACACAACTTTGTCACACACAACTCTTTCACACACACACAAATTTGTCACAGAAAATCTTTCACACACACACAACTTTGCTACACACAATCTTTCACACGCAACTTTGTCACACGCAATCTTTCACACACAACTTTGTCACAAACAACTTTGTCACACACACACAGCTCTTTCACGCACAGCTTTGTCACAGACAATCTTTCACACACAACTTTGTCACACACACAACCTTTCACACAACTTTGTCACACACAATCTTTCACACACAGCTTTGCCTCACACAATATTTCACGCACAACTTTGTCACACACAGCTCCTCACATACAACTTTTAAAACTATCGATCCTCCACCAGCTTCTTTGTCCTTTCTGCTTTCTCCGTGCGGCTTCAACCACTTTTTCTGATTATTGGAAGAAGTTGACTTGTCGGTTCAAAGAGAACCGCCAGGCACGGGCAGCCGCAGGTCGAAGGCCCAGTCCGCCCTTCAGTTCCATAGTGTTGCCGTTTGGCGAGGCCAAGGTTTTGGAGGCTTGAAGGCTGCAATTTGGAGCTAGTTTCTTGCCGGTTAGGCCCGGCAGCCGCAGGCCGCAGGCCAAAGGCCTGGCCCGTCCTTCAGTTGCGTGGTGTTTCAAGGTGGCGAGGCCAAGGTTTTGGAGGCTTGAAAGCTGCAATTTGGAAAGCAACGTTAGGCACAGGCAGCCGCAGGCCGAAGGCCTGGTCCTCCAGTTGCGCGGTGTTTCAATGTGGCGAGGCCAAGGTTTTGGAATCTTGACGGCTGCAATTTGTAAGCAACGTTATAGGCACAGGCAGCCGCAGGCCGAAGGCCTGGTCTGTCCTTCACTTACATGGTGTTTCGGCGTGACGAGGCCAAGGTTTTGGAAGGCTGCAATTTGGAGCTAGCTTCTTGTCGGTTCAGAAAGCAACGTTATTCACAGGCAGCCGCACGCCGAAAGGCTTGGCCCGTCCTTCAGTTGCATGGTGTTTCGGCGTGGCGAGGCCAAGGTTTGGGAGGATTGAAGGCCGCAGTTTTGAAGCCAGTTTCTCGTCGGTTCAGAAAGAAACGTTAGGCACAAGAAGCAGGAGGCAAGATGCAAGAGCAAGCAATGGCAGGAAGCAAGAAGCGAAGGAGCAAGAAGCTAGCAAGCAAAAAGCAAGATGACAAGAGATGGAATAAGACTTTGAAAGCAGGACAGGGAACAAGAAGCAAGAGGCAAGATGCAAGAGCAAGCAATAGCAGGAAGCAAGAAGCGAATTAAACATCCGTGCTACACTCAAAGCATAGTGCTGATTCTGTGGTCATCCATTTAGAGGGAATCCATCCTGAAGGTCCCGGTCGCTCCACACAGTGGGGCTCCTTTTCGGGGTGGTAGCGCTTTTCAAGCAACCCTGTCGCTCCTCGCAATATATCAAAGATGAGTGAAATGACGGGGGGCTACACATACATTCCTTCACACCATCTTTTTGACCTCGGCTCATATCTATAACTACATCGAAATATACTCGGACATTAGGATATCTTCATATCTGGTCGGGGTTTTTCGCCGCCACAGGGCCAACACCCCCGGGGTCGGCGGCAGGTGGCAGCAGCCCTTTTACCAAAAACATAATTTACATGGGGGCTTCAGTCACATGCAGCCGTTCAAACAATTTGCAAAAATTTATGTCAAATTTGCAGCGAAAAGTCACCAGCCATTGTTAAAATTGAACCGCGCACGCAACCGAACCCACGTCCTGCCATTTCTTTGTCCGGGCACCAAACTTGAACTCCGCGAGAATCATGAAAGAACCCGCCAAGAAACAGAACCCACGTGCAGTCAGCAGCAAACCAAACCTCGGAAGGAACGGGCAGGAACAGCGACAAAAAATAATGGTTCAAGCTGATTCTGGTTATCCTGAGCTACAACCAACTGTTCTTCCTCGGGCCGTCTCTGGTTGAAAGCGGAGATGCTTGCCAAATACACACACACAGACAAAATTGGTATGAAACGCCTGGACGGGAGCCATGCTTCAACATCCATGCAAAACCAAAAAACGATATTCATCAATAATGTAGATGCAGATTCAGACAGCCAGGCGTGAATATCATGAATTGCAGGGCGCCCATCAGACTGGAGAAAAAAGAGTCTGTCTGACGCCTTGTTGAGGAACGGCACCACTAAATGTCATTATGGTGCTAATCATCCCGTGGGCACCGAGCACCCGAGCCCGCGCCAGCAAAGCTGCGGCCATTGGCTCCAAGAAACCACCAGCGGTTTAAGCGGAAGTTGGAGATCAGGAACCTGTGCCCACAGGCAGAGGTACGGCATCCCCCGAGCAAGCGTCATGCTGCGGTGCCTGGTTGAATTGTTAGCGTTTTTGAGGATTTGGTATGACAAGAAACGTGAAACCTTGCTATTGGAGTTGTATGCTGGGTTAATTTTATCCTATTTTTCAACCATCTAAATGCCTCCCGTAAAACCACACAACGCTTCAAAAATATCTTGGAAGACTACCTTGCCAACTGCCTGAGAACTGAGGGGCAGAAGTCTCTGACCGAGGAACCGGAAACTGGAGACTGTGGCATCCCTCTTTTTCGCGCTCCAGGAAGGCATGTGAAAGGCCTGTGCGAATGCTCCAATTCTGGATCGGAGGCACTTTCTACCGTAGGTGTGCCTATATGATACCAGTTGACAAATCAAGTTGGGCTGTAGCGACGGGTGGGTGGCTGGGTTCCTCTTGCCTAGTTGCAAGAATATCTGCCTGGAGGAATGCCTCTGGCAATGAGATGCAATGAGCCCTGTGTTGTTCGGGCATTTGAGCAACTCTCGTCACAATTTACTTCTGGGGTCTACTAAGTAGTTAAGTTACGGTAAAGATGGTAAAGTGGACAGCTGAGTCACTATAGCGCGCATGGACCAACAATGACAAATACATAAAACAGGCAGTCTCCCAGCTCAATCTGTTTATGAATTTATGAATCAGACCAATGAACATCCTTGCCCCTGATAACAGAGAAACGTGACTCTGAACGCGTACACATGCAGAAACACCGCGCAGTTGCACCAGCTTTGTCGCCAGGCAGCAGCATAGATGCAGCCGACATAGAATGCCAAAACGAAGACAGAACCAACAACCTGAGCATCAAAGTTGGTGACTCTTGCGGGACATAGTCCTATCCGCCAAAGGAGATATTTCAGTAGCGGGCCTTTGGATTTGAAACAACCACCCTCTGTCACCCATGAGCAGGCAGTTGAATCGGGGCAGGCAGGAAGAACCAATCAGTGTGTATGTAAGGTGGGAATAAATGCAAGTGCAATGGGAATAAGCAACGCGAGCAAAAGGCAGAGGTGAACCAGCAAAGGAGGTGAGGTGAGCTGGATGTAGTGAATTGGGCGGAGTGAATTACATGCAGTGGGCTGGGGGTGAGCTGAATTGAGAAAAGCCGGAATGCGTTTGGGGGAGTGAGCTGGGCGGGTCAATTGGAAAGAAACTGGAATGAGTTTGGGGCTGAATTCGATGTAGCGCGCAATCAGTGCGTAAGGTTGGGGCTGTTCCCGTTACCGTCCCGCACTGCAAGACTTGCACGAAAAAGCACCCGTTTGGCAATTGCATCTGCCCACCGATAAGCGAGAAGCAACTCTAACTAGGCACCGTTTATGTTAAAACGATGCGCGGCTCAGTACAGCAAGTGCAGCAATGGCTTGATGCCGCAAACACATTGTACACGGTCTTTACTATCCGAGCTGGCCGCGCCATTCGGACATATCTGCACCGTGAAAAAAATTGTTGAAAGCTTGTGCAATAGCAATTGCGTGACATCGCCAAACACGTCGAAGGGTGCGAGCAACTTAAAGCAGCGACAAGGGCCCAACTTCAGGATAAATGCAAGTCCATAAAAGCTTGCAGCATGCTGTATACCCAAAGAAGAACTAGCCCAGAGAATTCCATTCTGGAACTCTCAGTGAAGTAGGGCGTGAACAGCATGGACCAAACATGGCCTTCAAAAAGCCGATGTACTTTGAGCGCTGAATGGAACGAATCAAACTAAGCTCTGACTTTTTCTGGGAAGATAAGTGACGTTGCCTTGGGCCTTTGGAAATTTAGAAGATGGGTTGCCACTAGGATGGAAACATCTTCGAAAGCATGTCTCTTTACATTTGCCATTGAAACTGAGACTGGAACCAAGCCAACCGCCAACATGGTCGGCTGCACGCTTCCCCCGCATTTGACGTTTGGGTACCTAGGGGCGGGACTGGCTTCAGTCCCTCTATGTCCGTCTACTGCGATTCCGCTAAAGCAGAGCCAGCTGTGTCCTCACTTCCCGGCAATACCTGGCAGTACTTGTCTTATGTTCAAGTCCTTGTGTTTCAAAGGAAACATAGCCGAAGGAAGCTTAGATCTTATGGACAGATAAAGCAACTGTTGTGCGAAGAGTCAGAGAAGAGAAAGAGTCAGAGCAGAGAGGGATGCAGTAGAAAGGAGCGACTGTGAGCGAAAAGGTGGGATTATGACTTTATATCAGCTACAGATAGATACCCAGAAATATACGTAGGAGTGCATGTCGGATGCATGCTGGGAATGCATGTGGGTTCATACCATTAGAAATTGCATGTTGGAAACGCATGTGGCACCACAGGGCCATATGAAATTGCATGTTGCAAATGCATGTGGCATGGCAGAGGCATGGTTCAATTCATTCTTGTGCCCACATGCAAAAACGTGCAAAAAACATGAATTTTTCGTTGTTTTTTAAACATTTCCATCCAGAAAGGTGGAAACCCCTAATGCATGCCCAGTTGCATGTGTGAGACGAGGGCCCTTGAAACAATTTTGCATCTGCATATTTGAACACATGAATTTGGAATATACATTTTGCATCTGCATATTCAGAGACATGCATTTAGACTCTGCATTTTGCGCATGCATATTTTAGCTCGTGCCTTTTGAACATGCATATTCCAGATATATGCATGCATTTTGGGGGTTATAGGCTGTGGCTGGAACGAATGTCATAAAGGTAGGAAAGCTGCGAAACGCTGTGTTTTTCCGATGTTTCCTGGCTCCGGAGGGTCAAGCAGTAGGCTGCCTAAGTAGGCTTGCTAAAGTGGCAGGTGCGGGGCCATCTGGTCGGATGATAGATCAAAAATTGCACAGGGTTGTGGCGCGAAGCGCATTTCTCAGGCAGCACGTCAGAAGCACCTCATTCTCTGAGCGCTCGTGGAAGTTCAGTTGCTCAAAAAGTGCGCGCGGCTCTGGCGCGAAGCGCGTTTCGAAGTCAAAATGGGAAACGCATCACATGTTCGCACCGTTTTTGGAAGTTGAGCTGTTGGAAAAAGAATGCGCGGCTGTGGCGCGAAGCGCGTTCCCAAGTCAAAAGCGTGAAAAACTGACGGTCCCGGACCACTTTTTAAAGTTTGGATGTGGTTTTAAGTGGCAGCCGTAATGGATTCCACAGCTTCACAAAAACGAGGCAAACATGTGGGTGGGTTTCGCGGCAATTTGAAAAGCGATGGAAGGCGGGGACGTTTGAGTACCTGCAAAGAGGCATTTCGCCTGGCACAAGAAACATCCGCATCAGACATGTCAGGAGATCGGGGCGCTGATTCGCTGAGAAGGGTTGCGATTTGGAGCATCAGATCTTCAGGTTGCTTCAAAATGATTTTGCGTGGCAGGTGCAGCACCCGTCAATTTTTCGCCGCCGGCGCAGTACTTTAGACAGATGGGGTGGAACATCGCAAGACATTGGCACGAAGCCGTCAGCTCTGCACTCAACTTTTCATTTTTGAAGGAAGCTCGCAGACTTGTTTCATTTTTGATGTTATCGCGTGCAAGAATTGAGACGTCCCGCAAAATTTCTTTGTTTTGGAGTGTGACCGGACTTTTTTGGAGGACGTCTCGCGGAATTGCTTCCTTTTGGAACTGGCAGCTTTCACTTGTGGTGGAAGACTCGCATACTTGCTTCCTTTCGGATAGATAGATGACTCGCATACTTGCTTCCTTTCGGATAGATAGATTGATAGATAGATAGATAGATAGCTAGCTAGCAACATAGAAAGAAAGATAGATAGATAGACAGACAGACAGACAGATAGATAGATAGATAAAGACGTAGATGGATAGATGGATAGATAGATGAGATGGATAGATTGCTAGCTAGATAAACAGGTAGATAGGAGGGATAGACAGATATACATAAATCGACAGATGCAGACAGAAGTGGATGGAACCAAAGTAAGACAGATAGACATCAACCCAGACAGAGACAAAGGGAGAGAGAGAGAGATAGATAGGTAAATGGATAGATGGATAGACAGACAGATAGATAGACAGACAGTCAGATAGATAGATAGATAGGTAGATAGATAGATAGATAGCCCGGTAAATTGATAGATGCAGACACATAAGTGGATAGACAAATAGATCGATAGACAGGTAGGCTGATACAGAAGGGAAGATGGAGAAAAGACAGAGAGACAGAAAGAAGCAATATCAGGCCTCCAAAATCCGAATGAACCCGGGAAAGCCCTACCCCACTTGACGCTTTGCATGCTATGCGCTACTATGTTCATAGTGCCAGCAATCATTGAATTCTTCCGGGAAACCTCGTCTGAGTATAGATGCTCTCATCCCCCGTTGAACTCATGCAATTGATACCCCTATTGCGTCAAGAATCACTGGTAAGTTGCTGTTGTCATGTTAAAACTTCTGTGAGGTAAGCTGTCGTAAGCTGCTGCAAAGGAGAGCAATGAAATGCCAAGGTGCTTCAGCAAACTCTTTCTGCCGTTCGGGTGGCTATAGCACATCCTCATGCGGCCAAGGAGTATACAGTGGAGCTGTGCTTGCGGAAGCAAAGAGTCACAGACAGAACTGGCAAACCCAAACGGTTAACAACATGTATGATGCTTGCTGATCACTTGCGCAATCGCTTTCCCAATACGTTAGCGCTGTAGGTCGTCACTTTTGCGAAAGCGTCGCGAAAAAATCCGCGCGGCTTTCAGCAGGGCCAACTGTCAAAACTTCAGGCTTTTCAGTAACTGGCTGCCTTTCCGTGCGTTTTGGTGCCTTCACTTGAAATTTCGCGCCGGTCACTTCGCTGATCACTTTCGTGATTTCGTTTTCCATTCGTGGCTTCTTCACTCTTTTGACCACGCGTGGTGAAAGAACGATTCCAAACGAGGAAAAACCAAGTCAGTTGTCAAGTCACTTGTCGGGTTTCATCAAAAGCCAAGGTGAACTTTGAAGTGTCCATCTTGTTTCTGTTGCAGCCGGGAATCAAAGGTTGCATGGCCACAGCACTGACTGTGCTGAAAGCCACCTCAGAAATTCTTTGACCCCAGGAAAAAACATGAACAAAAACAACTTCATTTTACACCGTCTGTTTTGCCACGCGTTTCAGCCCGGAAATTTGCTTTCATTTTCTGGCGTAGAAGCGCCATCACCAAATATGGGAACCGGAAAATGGAACTTCCTTCAATTTCACGCCCTACCCAAGAAGCCAGCAAGAAGTCAACCAATCAGCAAGGCTAGATTTCCAACAAATGCGCCGTCCAGGCAAGGGTTCCAAGGTTTCCAAAGCTTCCGAAGCACTTGGAGAATCAATCCCATGATGTTGAAGGTCCCAGGCCATGTCCAAGGCCTCAAGAACGGCGCAGCATTGCACAGGCGCGACTACAATGTCATCTTCATGTCAAGTTCATGCCGGAGCGGGTTCAAACATGGTACTGGCGTGCATGGATTGGTAAAAGGTCCCCTTCTTGTCGCAAGGTTTTTGAAAGTAATTCAGCAACCTATGACAGGATTTCAGCTCATATCAATCTAATCCCAATTCATTCATGAGGGCTTTCCAACAATGAGAAACTAACCATACATACGGGTTGCAACTCATATCAATCTACTCTCAGTTCATTTTCTTCTGTAGCCGAGAGAGACTAAGGATGAGTAGGGATTTCAAGTCATATCAAGGCACTCTCAATTCATGCTCCTGTATGACCAAAAGAACCGCAGTATAAGTAAGGGTTTCAAAGGCATACCAAACTACTTTCAGGATTGGGGAATTCGGTAGTCTAAGGATTCAAGCTGCATGGGGCGAAGAAAAATACACCAGCTATAGTAAAGGAAAGATGGATACAGAGATTCTGATTCAACAAAGAAAACACCCAAGAAGGACCTGGACGCAATAGACAACTGCCGAAACAAATCTACTATTCAGCATTTGAATGGTTGATGGGCTACACCCTGGAAAACAAGATGCACGAACCTGAATGCAGTCACGTAAAACACTTTTGTGAAACAAGTTGTTTGAACAGTCTTGTGCATTTTTCCCCTCTTACCGTACCAGTACACTGTAGACTGTGGAATGTTGGGGGGGGAGTGCAAAGTGCGGAGTGTGAAGAAGGTGTGGGGTGGAAAGTGTGAAGTGTAGAGTGCAGAATGCAAAGGGTAAAGTCTAAAGTGCGGAGTGCGGAGTGTAAAGTGTGGGGTGTGGAGTGTAAAGTGTAGAGTGTAGAGTGTGAAGTGCAGAGGGGGGAGTGTAGGAGTGTGGAGTGTAAAGTGTAAAGAGACGTCTGGAGTGTAAAGTGTAAAGAGTGGAGTGTGGAGCGTAAAGTGTAGAGTGTGGAGTGCAAAGTGTAGAGTGTGGAGTGTACAGTGTGGTGTGGAGCGTAAAGTGTGGAGCGTAAAGTGTGGAGTGTAGAGGGTGGAGTGAAAAGTGTAAAGTGTGGAGTGTAGAGTGTAGATGTTAAGGTGTGTAGAGTGTAAAGTGTAAAGTGCAGGTTCAAAAAGTGTGGAGTGTGGAGTGTAAAGTGTAGAGCGTGGAGTGTAAAGTGTAGAGAGGTGAGTGCGAAGTGTAGAGTGTAGAGTGTGGAGTTGGGAGTGTGAAGTGTAGTGTGTGGAGTGTAGAGCATCCCAAATACTACGACTGCCGCGTACAATGGCTTTCCACACAGAGCGGATCTGCACCAAATACTGCCCCTGCCACGCAACATGACATTCTCGCGATGTTTCACGCCGGCCACGCAATTTAAACGTTGTCATCACTTCAAACAGCCCTGACAATGCGATTCACCAATTGAAGGACCGGACAACCCCACAAGTCAACTTCTTCCAATAAGCAGAACCCAAAGTTGAAGCGAGCATGCAGTTTGGTGACAACTGGCCTCCCACTTGACGCAGCCTGAGCACATTGCGCATTGCTTTGTACTCGCGTCATCCCGCGCCCCCGGCCAACGAGATGACAGACGACATCACGTCGGTCTGCTTGGTACAGCAAGACATGCACACTGATGAAGTGCCGCACCTGCCACGCAATCGCTACGTCCATGTCGCCAAGTGCCACGCCTGCCACGCAAAGTGCAGGTGCATGTCGACAAGTGCCACGCCTGCCACACAAAACGAAGGCCGGTGTTGCCAAGCGCCACGCCTGCCACGCAAAGTGCCACGGGTGACCAACGGGGACCAAGCGCGCCACCAGAGCCAGCCCATTCTCACAAGCGCCACGCCTGCCACGCAAAGTGCAGGTGGATGTCGCCAAGTGCAACGCCTGCCACACAAAGTGCCGCGCCTGCCACCCACACGGGCGACCAGAGCCAGCCCAGTGTCAGAAGCGTCGCGCCTGCCACGCAAATGCTCCGTCCATGTCGCCAAGTGCCATGCCTGCCACGCAAAGTGCAGACGGATGTCGCCAAGTGCCACGCCTGCCATGCAAAGCGCCGCGGCGCCACTGGCGACCCACGGCGCCCAAGCGCGCCACGGGAGCCAGCCCAATGTCATAAGTGCCGCGCCTGCCACCAAAGTGCAGGTGGATGTCGCCAAGTGCCACACCTGCCGCGCAAAGTGTTGCAGCGGCACGGGTGACCTTGTATGTGTGAAAGATGGGGTGTGACAAAGTTGTGTGTGACAGATGGTGTGTGACAAAGTTGGGTGTGAAAGATGGTGTGTGACAAAGTTGTATGTGTGAAAGACGGCGTGTGACAAAGTTGTATGTGTGAAAACTGGTGAAAGATGGTGTGTGACAAAGTTGTGTGTGAAAAAGAGGTGTGTGAAAAGGTGGTGTGTGACAAAGTTGTGTGTGAAAAAGGGTGTGTGACAAAAGTTGTGTGTGACAAAGAGGTGCGTGACAAAGTTGTGTGTGACAAAGAGGTGTGTGTGAAAGATGGTGCGGGGGCGGCGGAGAGGGAGGAGGACGAGGAGGAGGAGGAGCGGGTTACAGAATCAAAAACAAGAACCCCACACAGAGACATTGGTCAAACCAGCAACACGATGCATCTAAAGTGCTGTGTGTGCAACGCAAAATGACGGTGGACACGTCCAAAGTGTTGCGCCTGCCGCGAGACATGCACAAGTCATCTTCTAAAAACGGCGCAAAAGTTTAACTTTTGCGCCTGTCACGTAAAACGACTCTTGACACGAATGCCATGAAGTGCCACGCCTGCCACGCAAAACGACATTTCGCAAATGAAAGGTTTTGCAGCTTCCCCCATAGACAAGGCGACGCCGCAAGCATTCTCATGAACCTCAAAATTTGCCACCTCAAAATCGATGTTTCGTTCGAGGCCTCCGTCAATTTTCATCGCACGTGACAAAAACCTACGCCAGCCACGGAATATGCACGTTGTCACCGCTTGACGCAGCCCTGCGTCTCGCAAAACAACACACAACACGACACGTCTGAAGCGCCGCACCTGCCACGCAAAATGACCGTGGAGGTCACCAAAGCACTGCGCCGGCCACAAAAAAGGCAACTCATCTTCTGAAAACGATGCAAAAGCATTGTGCCTCACACGCAAAACGACTTTCCACACGTAATGAAACAGGTTGGAATGTCACAAAGTGCCACGCCTGCCACGCGAAACGAGGCTAACGCGACGTTTGAAATGTCCAAAACTGACTACTTTTGCAGAGCTCGCCAAGAGGCACGGCCATACGATCCTCACGCGGTTCAGGACGGTTGCGAACGATTGCAGACATGTGCGAACGGTTGCGCAACGTCTGGCGAACACATCCTCAACCCCCAAGCCCCCAGAGTGAAACGGGAACGGAACCCTTGCTACGCATTCGGGAAAAATCCTTGGGTGACGCTTTTGGTCTTAGACGAAGTAATGAAAGTGATTATTTCTGGGGGGAATTTGGCATTCCATGGCTTCAAGATGAATGGTGCTAAGTAAGATACAACAGCGACAATAAAAAGAAAGGTGGATAAGGGGACTCCAAAAAACATTCTTGCTGCTTGGGGCGGGGAGGGGGCAGCGGGGAGAGGGCAGGTGGATCCAAAACTTTTTCTTGGGCCTAATTATTTTTAAGGTTTTGCGATTGAAAGTGGGTCTCTGGAATTTGATTTCGTCAGACGGGTCCATATCTATGCAGATTGTTTGCGTATTTGTTTTCTTTGTTTCATTTTTCTTCACTAAATTGCAGATAAGTGGTTTTTTGGTATCTAAGTCCAGGACCAAGGGAATTGGAAGCACATATTTGATAGCATCGCTATGCTCATCTTATCGCATACAACTATAAATATGCGAGTATGTAATTATACTCATGGATGCTTCATTTGATATTCATTGGTTTGGGATGCCCATTGAAATTGATACAGGCATGACAATTTATTGTGTGCAATATTCTTTCCAAAACGAAATCAAAGGAATTGGAAGGGATCATGAAGCCCACTGCCAAATCCAACATCAGATTGATTCAGAGGCGCAAAACGATGACTAACGAAATGTACATTGTTGGTCTATTTGGATCCAACCAGCAGAAAACCCAACGGCAACCATCATGATCCGTTCATGATACATGGATTGGTGGTGTTGATCAAATCTGACGATCTTCCACGAGTTGAACAGACACTTTTTCCCAAACATTTTGTATTGCGCTGAACGTGGAGAAGATATTGCATAATTTGCTGATCTTCCAACGGGCCAACCCTAATTTTGACGTCATCAATTTGCATATTTATTGGGTGGCCCTGTGCCGCCTAAATTGTGGGGCTGCAAGCCGCCAGCAAAAAAAAACAAATAGCGTCCTGCGGTTGATTATGGGTCTTGAGATAAGCTGAAAAAACTTATTCGTCCTAAATCCGGTTCAACGACCCCGAATCAATTGAACGAAAACCAATGGATTTCGCGTTTTCGTCCTAAGCCTCACTCGCGAAATGTACCCCCTGAGATCGGCTAATTTTTTCGGCATCCTAAATCTAGGGTCCGAGGCGCGCTTCGTCCTAAGTCAGCTAGGCGGTTTGTGCCCCTCAAGAATGGCTGGCGCCTATATCTCAACCCCAGGATTTAAGCTGATTTTTTTTTGTCCTAAATCGAGGGGCGCGTTTTGTGCACTGGACTTAAGCCCGAAATCAATTTAGTCTCCAAGACTGAACATATCATCAACGCTGGATGTTTCCTGTACTACTTGTGTTGAATCAGATTTTACCATACATAGATAGGATTAAGTTAGAGCTTTATCACAAAATTTTGATGAACATTCATGGGTGTACTTCGCCCAGATGAGCATTCACAGGAATGCTCACACAGTTTAAGCTCATCAATACTTGGCGACGGAAAAAAACGTTCAAACTATCCAAACCCATCGCTCAACAACTTGAAATAAAACCTTTGGTGACATAAAACCTACTTAAGCTATTGGTGCTAGTTGGTATTAGTGTAAAATACGTAGACCTGTGGTGGATCCATATATCGATCACCTGAATGACGGACACTGAAATTCTTAAACATCAAGATGTGAGAAAATCATTCCAGAACTGGCATTTGGAAACTTCAATGGGGAAATGCATTCGCAATTGTTGGGGGTTTAAACAGTACGGAGGGAAAGAATTTCAAGACGAGGGGTCCTGAATGGGGGGACCCATATGAAACAAGATGCAGCCCACGAACCCGAATGCTCACACGTATGTTAATGGTACAGATGTCGGCACACATGGATATGCAGTCACGTAGAACACTTTTGTGAAACAGTTAATTTCAACAGTCTTGCAAATTTTTCCCCTGTTACCATACCAGTGCACCGTAGACTGTGGAATATGGAAGAAGGTGGCGTGCAAAGTGTGGAGTGTGGAGTGTAGAGTCTGGAGTGTAAAGTATGGAGTGTAAAGTGTGGAATGCAAAGTGTAAAGTGTGGAGCGTAGAGTGTGGAGTGTAAAGTGTAGAGTGTAAAGTGTAGAGTATTGGGTGTAGTGTGTAGAGTGTGGAGTGAAGAGTGTGGAGTGAAGAGTGTGGAGTGTAACGTGTGGAGTGTAGAGAGTAAAGTGTGGAATGTAAAGTGCGGAGTGTAAAGTGTAAAGTGTGGAGCGTAAAGTGTAGAGTGTAGAGTGTAAAGTGTGGAGTGTAAAGTGCGGAGTGTAAAGTGTAAAGTGCGGAGTGTGGAGTGTAAAGTGTGGAGTGTCAAGTGTGGGGTGTGGAGTGTGGAGTGAGGAGTGTGAAGTTTGAAGTATTGAGCGTAACGTGTAAGGTGTGGAGTGAAAACTGTAGAGTGTAAAGTGTGCAGCGTGGAGTGTAAAGTGCAGAGTGTAAATTGAAGAGTGTAAAGTGTAGAGTGTGGAGTGTAAAGTGAAGCATGTAAAGAGAAGAGTGTAAAGTGTAGAGTGTGGAGTGTGGAGTCTAAAGTGTGGAGTGTAGAGTGCACAGTGTGGAGTGTAAAGTGTGGAGTGTGGAGTGTAAAGTGTGGAGTGTAAAGTGTAGAGTGTGGAGTGTAAAGTGTACAGTGTAAAGTGTAGAGTGTAAAGTGTAGAGTGTGGAGTGTGGAGTGTACAGTGTAGAGTGTAGAGTGTGGAGTTTGAAGTGTGGAGTGTAAAGTGCAAAGTGTTCAGTGTGGAGTGTAAAGTGTAGAGTGTGGAGCGCGGAGTGTGCAGTGTGGAGTGTAGAGTGTGGACTGTAGAGTGTAAAGTGTAGAGTGTACAAAATGGAGTGTAAAGTGTGAAGTGTGGAGTGTAAAGTGTGGAGCGTGGAGTGCACAGTGTGGAGTGTAAAGTGTGGAGCGTGGAGTGCACAGTGTGGAGTGTAAAGTGTGGAGTGTAAAGTGTAGAGTGTGGAGTGTAAAGTGTGGAGTGTAAAGTGTGGAGTGTAGAGTGTGGAGTGTAGAGTGTGGAGTGTAAAGTGTGGAGTGTAGAGTGTGGAGTATAAAGTGTCGAGTGTAGAGTGTGGAGTGTAGAGTTTGGAGTGTCAAGTGTGGAGTGAAAAGTGTGGAGTGTAGAGTGTGGAGCCCTAACATGACATTCCCACAAGACACGCAGCACGACACGTCTAAAATGCGGGGCCTGCCACGCAAAATGACAACAGAGATCTCCAAAATGCTGCGCCTGTCACGACAACTGCAACTGGGATCTTGTGAAAACGACACAAAAGTATTGCGCCTGCTGCACAAAACGACTTTCGACGCGTTATCAAACAGGTTGGAATGTCACACAGCGCCGCTCCTGCCACGCAAAACGACATGACAACCTGCTTGGAAACCTTCAAAAAGGAGAGGTTTTGCAGCTTCCCCCATAGACAAGGCGAGGCCACAGGAAAACCAGAGACCCCAGACAAGACACATGGGAGCATCAAAACGAGCTTTTCGTGCGAGACTTCCTCCAATTTTGACACTTTGTAGCTTCAAAACCGATGTTTTCCCACGAGTTTTCCTCAGAACCTGAAAATTTGCAACCTGAAAATCAATGTTTCGTGCGAGGCCTCCGTCGGTTTTCATCACATCTCACAAAATGCCACGCCTGCCACGGAATTTGCACCTTGTCGCCACTTGCGCGGCCCTGACAATGCGATTCGCAAAAAAACGCGCAAAGTGTCGCGCCTGCCACGAAAACTGCAACACATCTTTTGAAAACGTCGCAAAAGTATTGCGCGTGCCACACAAAACGACTTTCGACACGTTGCCAAACACGTCTGAATGTCACGAAGTGCCACGCCTGCCACGCGAAACAAAGCAACGCCACATGTGAAACCTCCAAAAGTGACCCCTTTTGCAGAACTTACCATAGGCACGGCCATACGGGGATGGCGCGGACGGTTGCGGACGGTTGCAAACTTTTGCAAACGGTTGTGGACGGTTGCGAACGGTTGCGGACGCAAACGCAACGTCGAGCGAACACACCCTCAACCCCCAGGCCAACAGAGTGAAACGGGAACCCTTGCTACGCATTCGGGAAAAATCTGGTGAACGGGTAAAGAAGTAAAGGCTGACATGGGGAAATAGTGAAAACATGAATTTGCAAAGCTTAAGGGATAATCTGGACAGATATATTGCTGGACCGCGATGATAAACACTACATGCAACGATTTCTTAGAAAACAAACAAGATTCCAGAAATCTTACTGGAAAAACCAGGCTGGATCGGGATGCAAACGTATCTCGCTAGCATGAGTACAGCGGAAAACAACGACAATAAATTCTCTGCATTTATATAAAAACAATAATTTGCAAAAAAGAATTGCAAGCCCAAATCAAATTCAAACAGCCCTCAATCAAATGCAATTCCTTTTCCCCTCCTGAAAAAACAAGTGGAAAACTTGACGTGGTAGAGGCCCGCCACCACCATTACCAAGGGGTGATGATTCTTTTAAGGATTTTTTGTTTTTTTTTGGTTCTTTTTTTTGGTGGATGTGCTATTAGTTTCCTTCATTTTCCATTAGTTGTCCGTCAGTTTACATTAGTTTTCCTTCATTTTCCATTAGGCGTCCTTCATTTTCCATTAGTTGTCCTTCATTTTCCATTAGTTTCCTTCATTTTCCATTAATTTTCCTTCATTTTCCAATGGTTTTCCTTCATTTTCCACTAGTTTTTCCTTCATCTTCCATTAGTTGTCCTTCATTTTCCATTAGTTTTCCTTCATTTTCCAATAGTTTTCCTTCTATTTTTTTTGGTCGTCGAGGCTGCTGCCCTTCATTTTTCATTGTTTTTCAAGGTTTCTATCGATTTTCCTCTCTCGTCATCGATTTTAAGTTTTTTTTGGCGTTTCTGTATGTTCGTCGTCCATTATTCTCTGGTGTTTCTCGTAGACCGTTTCTTTCCAGCATTTTTTCCACTGCTTCCATCGGCGCCTGTGCTTCTTTTGTATCTGTCTATCTATGCACCTACCTATGTATTTATCTTCCTACCTATCTATCTATCTATTTACCTATCTATCCATGCAAGTATCTATCTATCTATCTGTCTATCTATCTATCTGTCTATCTATCTATCTATCTGTCTATCTATCCATCTATCTATCCATCTATCTATTTATTAATCTTCCTATCCACCTAGCTGTCTAATCTATCCATCTATCCATCTATCCATCTATCCATCTATCCATCTATCTATCTATCTATCTATCTCTATCATCTCTATCTATCTCTATCTATCTCTATCTATCTCTATCTATCTCTATCATCTCTATCATCTCTATCTATCTCTATCTATCTCTATCTATCGCTACCTATCTCTATCTATCGCTATCTATCTCTACCTATCTCTATCTATCTCGGACACTTATTAATAGGGTCTTCATTCCTCTCGCACAAGCCGAAGGCAAAAAGCCAAAAGACCAACAAACCAAATGCAACATGCGAAGCGAAGCGAATGCTAAAAGCCAAAAGCCAGAAGCCAAGAAGCCCAAGAACCAAAAGCCAAAAAAAAAAAGCCAAAAGCCGGTTTCTTTAGGGTGTTGTAAAGCCAGGTGAAGCCAAAAGCCAAGAGCCAAGTGAAGCCAAAGCCAAAAGCCAAAAGCCAAAAGCCAAAAGCCAAAAGCCCAAAAGCCCAAAAGCCCAAAAGCCCGAGGCCAAACGCCAAAAGCCAAGTGAAGCCAAGTGAAGCCAAGTGCAGCCAAGTGCAAGCTGCCCCAGACTGAAAAACAAAAAAAAATAAGCAATACCCTCCATTACCAAGGTGCTGGAATTAGGCTCGAAAACTTTCGGCACCAACGCGCACTACTAGCCAACATTACATCGCACGTGCTTATCTTTGTACAAAGGTGGCAAATTGGATGGCTGCTACGTGCCCACGCCCAAAGTTCAGCCAGGGTACTGAAAACGGCGAAGAGGAGCGCATTTGGGGAAAAAGCCGGAGGCCAGCGAGCAGGTGAGCAACCTTGACTCAGACAACGGACAGGTTTTATGTTTGGATGATGGCAAACATGCTCCTGTCTACAGCTCAGTGCCGCTGCGGTACTGCAAATTTGACAAACCTGCTGCAAAGTTTGTTTATCCTAGTGACCGGTCATTAGCCTTTTGCACTTCATTTCCATGACCGAAACAGTCATTTTGCTGTCATGTCTGAGGGACAAACTCTTTGAAAAAGAAACTGAAAGCCATGGGAAAACGAAACGCCCATGAAAATGCTGCAATGGCCCGCCATGACCTGCGATAATCTGCGCTGATCTGCGCGGCCTGGACATGCCTTCTATGGAGCGGAGGGGCCACGTCAGGATGATTGGGAACACCGCAGCAACGGAGACGTAACGTGCCACTGCACCAGAACCGAGGAGGCACTCCAGACCAAGACTTTGAACGTCAAGGACCATAAACTGCAATCCTGCAGAGAACCCGTGAAAACTTCTGAAAAATGTGATTCTTTCGGCTTTTTCTTCAATGTTTGATTCAGGGTATTCAGTGACCAGTGGCTGTAGCCACCCAAACTACAACAACTACAGCAGAACCCACTCGTCGGCACAATGCTTCCCCATATTTCAATCCTTTTAACATAAATGTTGTTTGGCTAACTTGGCTAACTTCGTTCCAACTACCTTTATTATGCTGGCGTCAGTGAAACAATGGATGCGTTTCCCTGCTCCTGAGGAAGTCGCCTCCATCACTTTCGGCCACCTGACCTAAGCGCCGAAACTGCGGAGTCGGTCAGCAGTGGTGGTACAAACTCTTTCAAAATGGCTGCCATTTTGCAGAGATGCGTGAAACTATCTGAAACAAGAAAAGAAATACTGTTTGAAATGCCGCGTCGCTCTATGGGAATTTCTGTTTTCTGATGTGGCTCTGTTGTCTTATGCGGCGACAGCTAGAACAAGCCGTATAATTGTTGACTTTATTGCGCGCCTTTTGGCCGCTTGGCTTTTCCGAATGCACCAAATACCTATTGTGTCTCTGCGCTTCTTCGCTGGCACCCTCTACAAACAAGCATTTTCAAATGTCCTTGAACTCAATGATTTGGTTACTAAAGCCAATGAACCTAAAGGAACGGCTGTTCGTGATTTTCGTGACCGAGTTCTTGTTGCCCTTGCGTGTTTTCACTGTAAATCCTTTGTTTTATGACGGATTTGCGTGGACAAAGAGTTCTTTGGGGTTTGGGTGTTCAATGTGCGGTAGAAATTCCCAACAAACGCCAAAACCCATTTCCACCTCACAGTGCGTGGCACAGCACAGAACATAACAACATCTGGCAGCCGGGTGTTCATCACAGTCTCGATGCGATTTCAGAGACTTTACCAAATCAATGACTTCAATTTTTGAAATACCTGATGTAGAGACGCAGGCGTGTAATCATTGCCGTTGTATCCACTCCTGTCCCTGAGAACTTCCTAGCCCTTAGCTTTGTTGCAAATCCCTGCGTCCAGAGCACAGTTATCATTCCCATGAGAGAAACCGTCTGCATCACATTGACGCTCAAACCACTGGCCATGGTGAGCACCTGACAGAATCCAGAAGCGTCTGCTCCTGTTTCCATATTTTTGATCAGAACCCGACTTGGATATTGACAACAAACTCTGCTCTGCTCTCTTTTAAGTCTGGGCCAACCCAATCTACGCCGATGATTTGAAGCGAATCTAGCTTGTCTACGCTTCTGCAAGCGCACAGTAATCCAAAATAGATACCCCGAAGCGACAATTTGTGACACTTCTGTGTCCAACGTGGCTGCCTGGCACTTGTGTTGTGGCGAATGTTTCTGCCAAACGCTTTAGTAATGCAAAATAATTTGTTGGACCCCTTGGTTGTGTCTCCCCACATGTTAAACAATTCACAAGGGTCTATCAGTTGCGCCTACCAAGGTTTAGGAGCGCGAAAGTTGGGGCCGTGTCTCATCGTGTTGTGAGGTGCTTCTGGATGTCTTGCATTTCTCAAGAATCTAAGGGACATTGTCAAACGTGTTTCAAAAGCATGTGAATTACACGCTTTTGACACAGTTCTGTGTATTTAAGTGCGTTGCGTAGCCTGGCACCTGGTCTATTTAGTGTTCGTTTGGACAACCTCTGCAACTCCTAGCCTTTGGTATGACTTGTGATCTTTGGAGCTATCTCGATGCTACCAGCCCGCACTTCCTGTGTGCTAAGCGAGCAGAGTCTGTGGCATTGAGATGGGGTTTCGATGCTGGCATGGTGGTGTGCTAAGTGGGTTTTCGTTTCTTTTCGCTTGCTTGCTGATGAGATGCTGGAATCCCGGGACTTTCTAACGCAATGGAACTTTTCTCGCTCCGTATGATGGTCATTTGGAGTCCTGCTTGGCGATGCCAACTGGAACGTGGCGCGCTTTCTGCTTGACTGTGCTCGGCCCGGGAATAAATAGAAACGGCTCAATGAAAACCTGCGCAAAAATGCCGTGCTAGGTCCTTGCTGTGATTTATGACTTGTATTGGGTTGGCTCCGCAATCGATTGAGGCATTGAGGTGAAGGTGTTGTTCTATCATCAGAGCTTCTAGTCCCCAACCTCTAGCGTGATCTCAGATCTGGATGTGGTGGTAGGGGCACTTCTAAGAGCCTTCATTGCGCTCTTCTCTGGCGAGCAGTTTGTGAAACAGATTCCGGAGCACCCAGCATGAACCAGAATATTCATTTTTCTGTGCGCGTCTGTTCATTCCTTGACCATTGTCGTGTTCCGTTTGAGTCTGGGAAGGCTTTGCGCCATGTTTTGTCTGATTTTGTGTTCTAGCTGAAGTCCCCTGTGAAGATCAAGCTTCTAACACGCTGCAAATTTTCTGTTGTATTATGTTTTGTTGTATTGGAAGTCCTGTGGACGTTCCACGCACCACTGGCCCACTACTTCATAAGACTTGATGCTCTCAGCTGGACGCACACCCTTTGTGTGGATGTTTTGACGCCTAATCACTTTGCAACACGCGTGTGATCTCTTGTTGAAAACCAACTCAATACACATTTCCAGGAACATTACGTATGCCCCAAAGAAATTTGGCTTCTGGTTCTTAGGTTGTCCCCTTTCACATCACAGCTCCTGACACACAAATTTCATCGCTGCTGTGCCTTGATCGGTGAAGCTTGTGCGGTGACCTCGCAGGACGATGCACATTTCACGCTGGATTTGAATGCTGTACAGATCGAACCGCATTGCTTACATGAAAAACAATTGTTGGCAAGTCTTGCAACAAAGTTCAAAACAGAATCAGAACAAAATAAATACAATGAACAGCTCTGTGTTGCAAAAGGCATGTTGCATCCAGAATTGATATCACATGATATGTTAGATACTCTGCCAGCGCAGAAAAAACCATATCCTGTACGAATGTCTTGGCCGCATGCGCCCTTGATCCCTTGACTCTTCAGCCCTGGCCTCTGTATTGCCAATATAATAGAACGCGACCAAGCCAGCCAGTCCAACCAAAATGCCTCGGCTGCCAATTGTCAGAAACTCAGTCATAAAGGAGATTTGCACTTTTGATACTTTCGCTCGCGACATTCAAAACAAGGTCTGAAGGTCCCGACCACGCCCAACATGCCAATCTCAACCAGTTCAAATTCAAAATCGAAGAATGTAGCTACAGGTCAGCGTTCAGCGGGCCAAAAACGAAGTTTCGAGCAAAATCAGCAAATACAGGAAAACAAGCAAATGAAATACCAACTAAATCAATGAATAAATGGCTGAAAGAACGGCCGGGAGGAATGAACACGTGAATGCTTGCTTACAGGAAGCAAGACATGTCTGAATGAGTGAATGAATGAATGGATGAGTGACTGAGTGGGTCAGTGAGTGAGTGAGTGGTTGAACCTGCCAGGTCTCTGGACATGCACACACCATTTCACATGATTGCCCATTTTGGGAATGTCAAAACTCATTGCCAATGGGATAACATGACGAGCTAAAACTACAAGTTCCCTGACCCTAAGCAAAGCTGCAAATATCTTTGACTAGTTGAAGCTTTTGCCGGTACGGTTCCCAATTTTCAAAACTAGAATCATGAGGAAACAAATATGTCCATCATACAATAAAACATCAAGCAAGAACATACTATATATTGACAAACCAGAAACCGGCACAAAGCGATCCAGCTGTCACGATTCTTGTTCTTGACCCTCACAATTTTTCTCATAGAGTGGAGAATCTTCTGCATCAGAGATGCCAAACAACCATGCCACGGGCGAAAGCCCACAATCCACACACTGGCCTTCCGACCAAGTCCTTGGAATTCTGAGACTCGGCCTGCACTTTGATAAGCATATCAAGATATATCAGGAGCTTTTTTGAAGACTCTTAATTACTCAGCGTTCACAAGGTTTCAACACTGTCTTAAGGCAGCATTGCAATACGTTGCGCGGTCTTTCTGCGCAGTTTCAAAGCCGTTCCATGTAAGGAGGGCCCGATTCTGAGGAGGCAGCAAGATACCAATACACGCATGCAGTGCACGCATCAAATCTCTGCCAAAACTGCACTCAAACAGAACAAACCCCAAAAATTAACCAAACATTCCCGGCATTCCATGACGAATTCCGCTCATGTTCCTGACTGTGGTACGGGTATCTTAGATTGTTGATGGTTGGATTGTGGGTCACAATAAAGCTTTGAAAGGCAGCTCCGGACCTCTAACTTCGATCACATTGCAAGAGCCCACAAGTGGGACATGTTGTGAGGTGAGGTGCTTTTAGCCAAAGATTCTGCACCTGGACCTGGACCATCGATAAAACCAGTGCAAGGACAACTCTGTACGAACGGCAACCAGGGTGTAGTACCCCTCACCCATCAGAGTTGCATCCCCTGGCAAAAACGGGCACAAACGTCTGCCCAGCATCTGTCCATAGCACAGGGAGCTCCCCGCAACCCACCTGTGCACTCAGCAGGTTGACTCGTGGCATGTCAGGAGTCAAATCATGACACATACTTTCCAAAGAAAACGCAACAAAAACATCCAAACCTATGATATTGAGATGACATGATATGACTCTATTCTACTGATTTTACGGTCAGCTGCCTTGTCACACCTTATGTTGCTACGTTTTTCCATGATATCTTTGCGCGAGAATGCGGTCTGCACATGTCTGCACCATTCAGCCACCAAGAAAGTACTCAGAGACGGTATAGACATAACATAACATAGACAGGATGTAGAATCAACGCGGGCAAATCTTGGCAAATCTTGTGCCCTTCTTGTGCCAATGTGACATTTCAACGTGGTTCACCAAAGACTGGACGGTCCAAAACCAAAATGAAACAAAAATGCGGTGCGTCTTAGCCTCTCTGCATCTCTCTGCATCTCTCTGCATCTCTCTGCATCTCTCTTAGCCTTCTATTTTTTCCATATTTTCCATCTCCAACTCTCCAAACTGACACAACGTTGTCGAAACATCCCGCCTGGGCACTCACCAGGTCGACCTCGAAGGCCTCGGGAATTGTTCCAGGCCTTCGGTTCCTTTAAGGTCTGATTTTGGTGGGAGTTGCAGTTGGTGTTGCAGTGTACAGTTGGTACTTGGCAAATTTTTGGCAAAATTTTGGCAAAGTTTTGGGGATTCAATCTGATCCAGCTAATTCAATCTACTTCAATCTACTTCAAACAGCTGACAGCAATGCGGCAAAGCCAGTGGACGGACAAAACGAAAGCCTAGTCAATAGTCCAACTGTGGTGATGGTCTGCCAGCATGTGTGTTTGAAGCGAGAATAAAAGACTTTTGACAGGATGATAGACTTTATAGAAAAGGATTCGGCCGTAGTAGGTGCACAGCGGCGCGGCAATCCTTTCATATTACTTGCCATTTCCAACCGCCCCGCGATCGCCGTGCAGAAGTCATGCCATCGAGGCATGCCTTTGGGAGCCAGTGGGTTTGCGTCGTTTGTGTGCCAATGTCTGTGTCCCAAAATGGATGTGAGACAGCTGCAAAAAGTGCAGCTTGCAATCGAAACCAGCTTGATAGTTGCAGCAGTTCAGCTTGACAAGCACTGGCTGTATCAGAGCATGGGCCCTCCAATAGGCCGGAAGTTAAGAAATGATGGCTGCCGTGCCTGTGAACGTGAACCTTGGAACCTGGACCCCATATATGTTAGAGTTGTATAGCGGTACAACACTGCCCCAAGCACAGAGTGGAATCCTTTCAGCCCAAAATAGATAATGTTCCCCAAATGTAGCGCACCACTTTTGAACTATAATTCTCCCAAAAAGAGTCCAAAACGGAGCCCTTTCACATATAATACCTCCCAGACCAGACCCCTGGAAAGGAACTTTCAATATACAAAGAAAACGAGATGAAAAAAGACGAAATGACAAGCAATACTCCAAAAATTGATGAGAACCCACCGGCTCCACCACAACGCTCCCAGGCTCCCAGAAAAACTAAACTTGTCAACTTAAAAACATACAATGGTCCAAAAATCGTTCCCGTCAACTTGAGGCCAAAGGGAAGGGGACGAAAGTTAGTTTGGCAATGAGGTTGCGCAAAAATGGGTAGTCCCTCTACATTCGCTCATTGAAATGTCTATGTGCGATGCAGCTTTCCACCACCGCACAATCCGAATGCTGCAAGGCTCTACGGTGGTATGAAGAAATGATATAACCAGGAAAAGGCTGACACGGTTGTATCGTGGTTTTGCATCCTACGAGCAAGATGAATGTTTGCATATCACATTCCAAATGATGCAACCTGCCACACGCTCGAAAATGTGTCCTACTACCTGCGTTGTGCAGCAACATGATACAAGCCTTTTTGCCTTTTCTATGGTTCTAGCATGATTGTATTTTTAGTCACCGTTTTACTCTTTGAGCCTCGTGCTCATGATGTCGCATGCAGAAATATGCACGTCAAGCTTGTCAGCAACTCGTGCTGTGCATCAGAATAATATAACCAGCAAAAGGCTGACATGGTTGCATCATGGAAAGAGAGGCTTCTTGCAAGCGCCATGAGAAAAAACATGTGTGGAGAGGGGAAGTGCCAGAATGTTTGAGACAGAGTGGAAACATAATCTCTCCATGGTTGTATAGAGGTCTTTCTGCTTATATAAGCAATGCGAATGCTTACGCGGCGCATCCCAAATGCTGCGAGCCTAAGCATGTGCGCAAATTTCCGCTACTACTGGTAACTGTATAAAAAAGATGCGGCCAGGAAAAGGCTTACATGGTTCCATCATGGCTGTATTTTTCGTGTGTGTTTTACTCATTGTGCATCATACCTACGATGTTACAAGCAGAAATACGCACGTCACCTTTGTTGACATATGCTGTGCATCAAAGTGATATGATATAACTAGGAAAAGCCTTGCGCGGTTGCCTCATGATCTCCTTTCGGGCCAGCACCCTGAATGTTAACACGTCAAACCCAAAATGCCGCATGCAGAAACACGCATGAAACCTTCCCCCACACAAGAGTACAGAAGTTGGTATGTAAAAATTATATAAGCAGGATAAGGCTGAGATGGTCGTATCGTGGTTTTGCTTTCGGTGAGCACGAGGATTGTTTGCGTATTGCATTCCAAATGCTGCAACTGGAAATGCGTGCAGAAAGGTGTCCCACGCACCCGGTCCCCATTGAAAACGGCAAATGCCTCTAAGAAGCCTGTTTGATGCAAAAATATAAGGCGCCAAAAATAAAACACTTTCAGCTCCAAAAATACAATGTGCCAAAAACGGACCCCCTGAAAAAGTAGACCTTTCATTTAAAAAGCGCGTTGCTCCAAAACTCTCAAAAGGGAGCCCGTGATTCAGTGCTCCATCCCTGCCTTACTTGATCCCAACCGCTCCGATCTGCATCCCGAAGGGGCGAAACCGGCGGGGGGGAATTTGATACCCCACCGCCAAATGTTCACTTTCCACCCACATCCAGTTTTCGAATTTCGAGTTTGGTCAGACCTCCCTCCAGACCCCTCAATCCCACTTTGTTCGCAACAACTTCAGCCTGGTTTGCCGGCTTTCGTAATAGTAACAATGCTTTGATGATCTTTGATCTTTGCAGGAAACACTTGTCAATTTGTCCTCAACTTTTCCAAATGATAAATAGAGCCGGAGCCAGCAGGGCAACAGCAACACTTTGTCTGTGAAGTTGCCAAAAAAGCCAAATGATTCGTTATCTGCTGTCTTCACTCTAAAGCGCTCACGTGCGTTTTATTATTCCGGGCTAGAACTATCTAGAGCTGTCCATGTGGGTTCCGGGCCAACTGCCTGGATTTGCCAAGGGACAAAAGTGTGAAGGTTTGCACAAGTACCTCAACGCTGAACGGTGGCCGCCTTGTGAACACAAGGATCTCAATCTCACAGTCTTGTTTCTGAAAAGAACCAAGTGCAAGTCGTGGCCAGTCGCGGCTACATGACTACAGCTAGTCAAGAGTCACGAAACGTTGGATTTGCTGTCCTTCTTAACCATGATCATCATCGCATGACAATTCCATATAGCTCCCTCGTCCACACTGCACACCAATGGTCAAGTCAATCTCTTCGTTTTTGAGAAAGTGAAGCGGTATTCTTGTTCCGCGCTGCTCTATTCCAACTGTGCCTGTCGATTTCAAAACATCAGCTCAGTGGCTGAAAAGAAAACGTGGTGAAGAAAGGCCAAGTTGTTCCAAGGTGCACACTAGTAGGGGTGTGGAGTGAAGCGTAATAGCCCTCCTCGACCACTGGCACAAAGTCCTGGCGGCTTGGAGCTGGTATGGGGTGATTGTATTTTGGGCTACCATTGAAAACCAAGGAAAGCAACGCACCGGTAAGCTTGCAGCCAAAGCTTCTTATATGATACAAATTGATGCTTAGGTGGGTGTGCCAATACGGCCATTCTGCCCCCGAAAAAAGCAAAAGGACTCCGGCTTCACCGCCGTTTCACACATTCCTATATATCGCATGGAGAAGCTGTCAAACATGACCAAGCCCTGGGCACCAGAGGGCCCGCGCCAACATGGCCAAATATATGCATGTGCATTTGAAACCTTCCATCAATGCAAATCAGGAAGCGCAAGGAAATCTCCACAATCTAGCAAAAAGGGTGCGTACTTTTTTGATGTTTTTTTTTCTTTTCCGGGGGGAGGTTGGGTTTGGACTGGCTCCCATTGATTTTTCATTTGTTTTCATCGATTTTCCATGGTTTCATGAAGCTTTAACTAGCGTTGATCAAATTTTCCCTGGTTTCATGGGTTTTGCAAAGGCCTGCGTCAATTTTGCAACGGGTTTTTCATCGACTTTGCGATGCTTATCATTGATCTTTCCACCGATTGCATCAAATTGCAATGGTTTTCACTGATTTGTCGCTTGTTTGAATCCATTTGGCAGTTATTTTCATCAGCTTTTGAATGGTTTCATCGGTTTGCAATGGCTGTCATTGCATGGTTCGCAATGATTTTCATCATGTTTGCAATGCTGGGCTCCTGAAACATCAGATGTGCATGGACCTTGTGGACATGTAGGTTGAGGCACAGCCTCATTGGGTGTAAACGCTTTCATTTTATAGATATTATCAAGCTGTTCCTATGTTGGATCTTGTCTTTCTTATATGCCATGATTATTGTCTTTTTATTACTTTTAATTGATCTTTTACTCGCTGTCTGCACAATAGTTGCACCAGGCCTTTCCAAGAAATCACTAGAGGCCAAAAAAAAACCCAAAAAACCCAAAGCCAAGAAGCCAGAGTGGACACCAAAAAAAGAACACCCAAAAAAATACCAAAAATCATCCATCACAAAATGGAACCGAGGCGGAATCCAATTTAGCATTGAAACACGTAGGAAGTGAACAACAGCCAGTCTGGGTTTGTTTTCAATGGTCGAATCTCAAGGTATGACAGGATTACACATCTACCCTCGCGAATGAGCAAGACCTACCGGGAGTGAGAATCTCCAGGACATGCCACCAACGAAAAAAGCCTTGCCAACGCTACAAAAAACTTTGCAGCGGGGGTCGATTTTTCTTTGGCTAACATCAAGAAACCTTCAGGCCAGAATCTCTTTGTTACACGTTGATTCTTGGACCGCATGACAACTCTCTATTTTCTCTGGTGTTGCTTTTGGTGCTGACTAGAACGAACAGGTGTACATACATCCAGCCGCAACCCGTGCAATTGCTCCTTCGTTTGGTCGTTCGCAAGTGCTGGCCCATCTTTGAGACTCTGGATGGTCGACGAGAATGGACAATAAAGGCCTTCACCTAGGGAACACAGTGCTGTGACCGGACACGCCAAAAAGACCTAGTGCTGCAATGAACTTTGGGCCACTGGATGATGGGAACTGTCGATGAAATGGCCAGATGCCAGAGGTACATCTCAAATGATTCTTCAACTATCTTCAACCATCTTCAACCTCAAGTCATTGTGCACATTGAACTTCTGTGAGAAACCTGCAGGCTGGAACAGTGTGGTGGGTTGACATATGCCACGCTACCTGAGCTTGTTTCATGTGTTCAGTCCATGTAAGTGCAGTCACGTACAAACTTTTGCATTTTAGATGCGCTATCGTATCCTGTAGTTTCCTTCATCGTTGTGCAGGGTTCTTGTCTCTTGCTTCAACGTCCAGACCTCCTTCCTCCTTCCCTATCAAACCTATATCAAACTTGAAAGATATCACATTTCTCAGACCCGATGAATCACCCAGAATTGAGCAAAGGGGCTGCAGGGAACGCATTGAAAGGCCGTTTCATTCGGAGCGACGTTGATTGTGTGCTCATTACAGCCGCAGTCCTTGGCAGGGCCGGGATGTTGTGGGAATGATGACTCCGTCCGACTCTGTTTCATCCCGTCCAGCAAACGCAATTGCATTCCATCATGTACTTGTACTTAGAGTAGAGTATAAAAACCTCTTCATTTTAACCGTTTTCTCAAGCATTCTGAAAGTCATGCGTTGCCCATCACATGAGGCAAAGCTGCGGCAATAATTGACTAGCTTTTGGGATAGATGAGGTTTCGGTTCCAGTTCCAAGCAAACACATTCGCAAAAAAGCAACCGCGAACACGCGCACGCACACACACACACACAACGAGCTTTTGACTCCTTGACAGGCATGGCAGCAGGTCTGTTACCACTCTGGTTTGACCTTGTATATTTGTGAATAGTTGGAACATATTTACCGACTGCATTTCCACAACAGCAGCACTTAAAGATACAGAAAAATGCCGTCTTCATCACATGTTCCCGAAATTAACGTTTAGATATCTAGCCAACCACCGGCAAGTCCAACCCCTATAGCCTTACAGCGCTTAGAATCCGAAAGGTCGTTGGAACCAAAGCCCAGCGTTGTGGTACCAGGAGGACATTGAAGGCACTGGCTCTGCCCTTCTTGGCCCTGATACTTCCCCTTCTCACAACGCTTGCCTCAGCAAAATCATCGGCAAACCCAACGGTTCCTGAACTGTGGGCGGGTTCTGGTTTTGATTTGCCAGGATCAGCAAGTCTTTCCTTGTCGCACTTCACAAGAAACAATAGAAACATACAATGAAATGCAATGAACAATTGAGCTCATTGAACCCGCCTTCGAAGCCACGCTTTTAAATTTTCTAGGCATTCTCTTGGGGTCGTTTGCGGTGAGAGGTTTGGTTGGGTACATGCCTCAGCAACCTTTTGTTTGAGAACCGTTTTAGAAGCTTGGAATCTTTCATCTTTTGAGAGGCTTCCTGATGCTCAGATACGCTCAGAGACTTAGCCTTCGAAACACCACTTCGAGTGATTCCTGTCTCTGCTCAATTAAGTCCCATGGTGACCAAATGCAAACATGATCTTCATGCTTTTTTCATGACATAGCTCCTTGTGAGACTTCTCGTTCTTGGGTGTTCTTGGGTGTTCTTGGAACTCTGTTGCAGCAACTCTGACATCTTGTCAGAGGGAACCCGCTAACCCCCGAATCTTGATATCCAAACCTGTGTTTGGGGCGGGGAAGCTTCAAACTGACATAGACCCAAATTGAGCGAGCCACAGGAACTCTTGGCTTCTTCATCTTGATATTCACCTGCGCCATGCTGCATGTCCACACCAGCCTATGTTACACTATATCCAGATTTCGCATCAATTGCGTGATAATATATTGAGTGGTACTATTTTGAGTGGTACTATTAAATTGTACTGGTACTATGTGCGTTGTGCTCCTGGCCCTCCCGTCTGAAGAAAGTGATTCCAGTGCTTGACCCTGAACTGAATACATCTCACTAAAAGAAATGGCACTTGACTGTATCTACAGAGATTTAGTTTACTACATTATGGCTTACTGGAACTGAATTGCGCATTGGTGCTATGATGTGCTATGCCATGGAGTGTGAAGAAAGGGAACAAGAGTTGCCGTTCTCTCTATGCAAAAATGGACTGATGTCAAGCAACACGAACTCCCATGATTAGCATGTGGGTCTGGATTTGCCGACCGTGTCCGAGTGGTGCTTGCAGTTTGATGTGAAATCATCACATAAAACCCAGCACATGCGTCATGGAATAACCAATGTGTAGCTGCTAGACACCTATGGGCTTGCAAAGAAACTCTTGTGGCCCGAATTCCGCTTAAACGTCTGAAAAGGTTGAAAAACGAGCATCTTTAAGCTTGTAAATATTGTAAATGGATCGTAGAGATTCGTAGATGGTAGATTTGTTACACTGTTCGCGGTTCAGAATTGTCTGCCGTGCCCTATCCGTGCCCTGTGGCCTCTGGAGCAGGGATCACATGCGAGTGAAGCTCCAGATGCCTGGCCAGCAGGTTCACGAAACACATGATATGGCTTCGGTTGTGGGACGGAACCGATATTGGGAACAAAGGTCCGAAACAGATCTTAGCAACCATTATCAACCATCTACCTTAATCTACCTTAACGCACCTTAACAACCTTAACAAACATACCTCAAGATTCCGTGCCACAAGATTCACGACAATCCAGCATTAAGATGTTGTTCCATGCTGGTCTCACGCTGGATTGCGTGCTTCACATGCCACGGAATAGAGTAATGAACTCAGAGCTCTAGGGCCGTAGCTCTCAAGACTTGCTCAAGAAGTGCCATGGCATGACGCAGTTCTTTGTGCCAGCACAGACTTTTTACCCCCGACCCGCCTGAGATGTGCCAGCTGGGCAGGCCACGCAGCGATGCGTCCCGGAACCGATCCTCAGCTCCAGAAATATGTAGAAATCCAGAAATATCCAGAATCCACATGGATCACAGTGATCACAAATGGCCTGTGTTGGGATTGCATTGATTGCATTGATTGAATCCCTGCATCTTTACCATGCTGGTCCGTGATTCTGTGTGTTCATGGCAGCGATGTGTCGCCAATAATGTGTTTTGACAAAAAGTCTGTTAATCTCGTTGCCTTGGCCAAAAGTGTCCACATGCTGGCGCCCCCATCCCCGTCACAGAGCGTCTCAGAGCGGCTGAGTGCTACTGTTTCCAAATTAAATATGTCAATGTTGACTACATCAGTCAATGCAGTCATCAGCTTTCAAACTTTCAAGCGTTGCTTCACAGGTTCACTGCCTTCCAAATGGGACTCTGTGGGCCTGCTCCTTCCTGATCCAAGTGTCCCGTCTTGGAGTTCTTCTGAGAAATGCCCGGAGGGGCAAGCTCTGCCTGAGACACGGAAAGGCTAACGGAATGGTTAGCAAATTGAGATTGCTTTGAAAATTCAGGCTGAAACTGTCAAGATGAGTTATATTCAAACGAAATGAAAGCAAAGAATTCTTAAGGGCCTTTTGTTCTGCGGCTCCTTCTTACATGAAAGGCAATGACAAGTGTCTTGTGGTGTCTTGCCAAAAAACCTTTAAACGTACACTGTAGAGGCCACCGTTATGGACGTGCTATAGATGAGGAGAAAAAGGAACTGAGAATCATGGCACATGGGAACTTCAAACAAAGGTGACCTTGGCCCATGCATAAAACTTTTTGGGATTTAAATGAGGACAACTGTATGACGGTACCCGAGTACACTGGATCTAGGCCTTCTCAAGGTTGCGCACTGTAGCAGTTCAGATTTTGATGCATCTATTCCTCACCCGTCTTGATGACAAAGACACAATGGGAGAATCGGCCCGTCATCTGACAATCAATGCAGAAAAAAGGCTACAGGAAAATGGTCCCATGGTGTGCGGAACTGGTATGATTCAAAAATTGCAGCGAAACCATGAAATTAATGAAACATGATTTTTCACTGAAAAGTGTAGAACCCCAAAGAACAAATGGAAAGGGATCAAACATGATCAAACGGCAAATGTATGTGTGTGTATGTATGTGTGTATGTGTGTATGTGTGTATGTGTGTATGTGTGTATGTGTGTATGTGTGTATGTATGTATGTATGTATGTATGTATGTATGTATGTGTATAAATGTATCTATGTATCTATGTATGTATGTATCTATCTATCTGTCTGTCTATCTATCTATCTATCTGTCTGTCTATCTATCTATCTATCCATCCATCTATCTATCTATGTATCTATCTATCTATCTGTCTGTCTATCTATCTATCCATCCATCTATTTATTTATCTATCTATTTATCTGTGTATCTGTCTATCTATCTATCCATCTATCTGTGTATCTGTCTATCTATGTATCTATGTATGTATGTATGTATCTATCTATCTATCTATCTGTGTATCTGTCTATCTATTTGTCCATCTATCTGTGTATCTGTCTATCTATGTATGTATGTATCTATCTATCTATCTATCTATGTATGTATGTATGTATGTAGGTAGGTAGGTATGTATGTATGTATGTGTATATATGTATGTGTGCGCGTCTCCCTGCTAAGCCATGCCAAGCCACAAATCAGGTTGGTCTGATCTGCCCGGCTGTTCACGAATTGATTGGTCTGACAGGTCATGGACATGTCGTTGTGTCATGGTGCTTCGAGGTGCTTTGCGGTGCACGGAATTGCTCGGGATTGATTCATGGCATGACATTACTCCAGTATATCAATAGCACAAAAACCGGAGATGGACTGAGTATGCTATGGATTGAGTATGCCTTATATGCGCAAAGTCTTTGGTTTTCTTTGGTTGTCTTGGGTTCCCAATTTGACACAAGTCACACGATTCAAGATAATCAAACTTTACTTGAGCAGGGTACCGACCAGCACTACGCAATTTATGTGAATCCATGAGCACGAAAGATCGGTGGCAAATGGCCGAAAGCTTCTGCATATGAAATTAGATCTAGAGTGGAAACAAGAGAAACCAATGCCCAGTGCTGGCAGTAACCCGACGTTCAATCTGAACATTAAATGTCAGATTCCTGCATGATATTTCATGTTTGATGAGAATCGGTATCATAGTATCAAGTGTTTCATGGTGTCCACTGCTCAACTTGGATGACCAAACTCCACACTCCGAAGACGACTTTACTGCGTCCTTGCAAGCCCAACCAAAATCTGTCCTTTCAAAACGACCCGAACAAACGAACACGGTATGAACACCTATGAACAAATCATGAACAAAGGATCTCAATCACAGCCGCGTGTATTACGAACGTATAGGTGCTGGTGCAATGGGACATATGCAGCATATGCATTAATTAATCATTAATTGATATTCATGTTGCATCTTATATTTTCCCAGGATTTTTGTATTGTGCACACTTTGGAGAGACTTGGGTCGATATCCCGTCTACTTCCTGCCCAGGTGGTGCCCAGCCTTTTCGTTGAACAAACCTTGGGGTTGCCGAGGGTTAAAGCTTCGAAAGCACCAAGGCTTAGGTCAAACACCCTATTCATATGGGGCACCCTGTCTCGCCAACGAATTTGGGATTCCTGAACCACATCGGTGATCTCACAGAGTTCTGAGTAAATTAATGGCAGAATGGCAGCTCCTGATTCCTGATGCCCTTGTAACCACGGGAAGAACCAAGAACATCAGTGGTATCGCGCTACAAAATTCAACACAATCTGGATGAATTTCATGACAGGAAGAGCGCCGACTTCTTGGAACAACTTCCCCCACAGCTCCCCCCTGTCTCCTTGTGTTGGATTTCTGTTCGATACTTTTCTGTGTCAAGTCTTGCAGGCCTCTCATGGCCTCTCACTATCTTCCGATTGGTCCAAAATGTTCAACACATAGTTTTAATAGGGATTAAAAACATTATTATCAATTCACCATGATGAACCACTATCTTCTGATTGGTTTAAAAATGGGATCCGCTTTGTTGTCCGAGTTGCCAAACTGTGCCGAGCATTTAGTCTTGTCTGGGATCCACCTTGTCCAGCGGCTCCTATGCCTCGTTGCGTTGCCATATCTGCAGCATCTTAACAACAAAGTGGATCCCATTTGTAAACCAACCAGATAGTGGCTCATAATGGTGAATTGATGACAATCATGTTTTTAATCCCAAATAACCAACTACAACGTGCTCACACTTCGGAGAACTTTTTCAGTCGGACGTATGATATAATTATGTCAAATTATGTCCATGCCTCTGGACAGATCTGAAGAATTTGTCCTTTCGTGAAGCCGCCACACAAAGTAATGTAAATTGATCTGCAGCGAAAAATTATGCCTTGCCCCACCTGTCTGTGAAGGTCAATCATTTTCAAGAATGTTCAACTCCAAAATTAAAAACTGATACCTACAGTGCACATATCTATCGTGCACATGAGAACCGATGTGAACAGATCAAGGTATAATGCACTGAAACACATGTCAGACGCAGATTTGACCCAACAGTCAACATAGGAGCTTTGAATAAGAGCCAAGAACTGTGGCGATGGGAGCCGCCAATACAATTGCTAGAATCAGACCCTGAACTTGGTGCGCAGCAGCAAGATTGCTCGGAATCTTGAAACAACCAACAATTCGACCACAGAGAAACGGCGCGTGACCATGTTGCAATTTGATCCAATCACAGGCCACGTCGAAGAATGTTGTTGCACCTCATGGACAACGCGATAACTCGAATAACTCGGATGACTGGTTAAGAGATGTCAAGAGATATTAAGAGGAGTGAGGGGGGCTTCAACAAGTTGGGGGCATTGTGCAATGTAAAAAAGACAGTACGCATCATTGAATCTAGCGCTGCATCTGACTGGTCCCACTCAGTGTACAGAATCTCTAATCTGAACTTGAATCACATTTATTGATGCCTGACTGTCTGACACTTAAACTTCTCTATGGAGCCTGACTGCCCTGACTGCCTCCCCTCAAACACAAAGAGGTGACTCCATTGGAGACTGGTATTGTCAATGGCGAAAGCCCCCTGGATGAACCTTCGAAGGCATCGAACTGCTTGAGATATCAACGTAAATAGCATCATGTAGAAACTACAGCAACCCCCATGGAGCCGTTCCTAGCCATTCTCCCATTTTGGAAAAAGCAAAAATCATCAAACCACAAATATTGGGCGAAACAATGGCAAAAGCTTAGGCAGGGAGCCCTACCAGTCAATAGCTATTGAATGTCGTGAGCTACCCTCAGATTCTCGCATTCAATTTGTCAGAAAAGTGAGCCTCTGTTGTGTTTGGCTCGTCAGTTTCCATAGGCAGCCTCATTACAGTCACAGCTTCTGAGACAAGCCAACCTGGGCCGGACGTGACCAGAGGGGCACCCATGGACACCCGGCACCTGATTGGATGTGAAGAAGCAGCAGGTTTTGAACTTCCGAAAGTTCGAAATTCACCTCGCTGATGAAGTCCTTGGCAGCGTCAACGCTGTCGACGCACCCGTTACACTTGTGTAACAGTTGCAAATCGAATTTGATCCCGTCAGCTCATGTGTTTTTGACATGCAATTTCTTAAATCATCTTAAATCAAATGCCAGGGATCTTGGACCAAAGCAGCTTTAGAGTGCAGATTTGAACTCACCATCTTGGAGACGCGGGCGCCGAATCCACCTGGTGACGCTTTCGAAATCTTTTTGAAGATTCAAAAGGCGCAACTCGTGGTCGTCCTACCCGATGGTTTCTGGAACTGGCGAACCCGATGACAACAAGAACGTGAGACATCAAGGGACTTGGCACTTTTGCTTATGACGTAAGTATTGCAAAATGTGGCAGCGAATGTGGTACACGCATAATACAGCTCTGGGGATCATTTCCTCCGCCCAAAGCAGCACATGCTTTGCTTGGGTTGATTTGACTTTCCATGAACATTGTCAATCAACTCTTCAATTCTGAAGTGGGCTTGCCAGTAGCATTTTTGCAAAAGCCTGCAAAGGGTGGAAAGTGATTTTTAAATCAACACCATGAGTGCCTGAGCGGACGGAGAGTCCAAGTGATTCCCTCCTCTCTCTCTCTCTCTGCCTCCCTCTCCCTGTCTCTCTCTTTCTCTCATTTGTATCGCGTGAACTAGTTCCAACAATCTCCTACTACTTATCCTACCTCTTGCTATTTGATAATGATTTAATAATCATCACCAGCAATGGCAATAGCTATGGCTATGGTAAGGAGGGGTGTTTGTCATGTTGCAGGTGGTTGTTGGAAGGGGAACGAAGCTCCCTTCCCGGGGAAAACGCAGGAGACACGCCTGTCTTCTTATTCCCTGCAGCCTCAGCGATGCCGCTGACTGTGATACCATGTTGACCCAATATGGTCCTCTCCTACCTCCAGGAGTTTTGGAATGTGAAAGCAGAACGCTTGAACTTGTCTTGCAGACAAAACAAAATCAGAATGGAACTATTCCGGGAATTACTACAGGTTTCTCCCTGCTGTGGAGATGGTCGTGTTACAAGAAACCCGGTTGGATCCGGTGCACAGTGTGTCCTAGTCATCCAGATCAATCAAGATCCGAGAATTCACCATGCCAATTCATAGTCAATCCATGGAGAAACCCTACATCGCAGGGATCTGGTGTCTTTTGACACGTCCGCATTTTCAACCTTCTGGAAGGGAAACCGCAAATGACAGACCTCCATGGGCTGCATGAAACAAACATTTTTATCATCCCATCAAAAATTAGCATCTTTGCTACAAACGAGAAATGAATCAAGAGGAAATCTGGCTATGCGACATGCGCAACGTCACCAATCCAGTAGCAAAGTACCATGTCACCATACATCACTGCTGAAGCCATGACCCCGTGGTGCCAACCCTGGCAAATTCCATGTTAAGTTTTTATATGTTTTCACATGCGATTTTTTAATGTCTATTGTTTTCATGTCATATTTAGGTTGTTTCATGCTTTTTCCATATGTTTTTGAGAAAACACATTCAATCCTCTGATCGACTTCTTTCAGACCTCCTTTACTATCGAACGTCTTTTGATTGCCACATTCGATGCCGAGGCGCCCATTCAGAGGGGCTGTGGCGCGGAAGAATGACCGGCTCCGGCCGCATATCGATGAACGTAGAGTCAGGTTCCTTATGGGAAGGTGACGCTATGGCGACAGTGCCCGGTGACACGATAACTAAATCACTAATGCGGTACTTTGGGGATCATCGGGGTGGACATTCTCCTTGGCATCTGTGTCCTCGCTTTTCCTTCATCTTGGTTGCCCAATTCCAGACTATAGTTTGAGAGAAACCACAATGAAACTCATACTTTTCCAAGATTGACGTGTTTTTTTTTCGAAAAAAATCACGACAAGCAGCCCACCAGTAGTGAAGTGCCCTGAAAATGTGCACGTGCTTCTGGAAGAGGGCCTAACATGGCACCGGCGTTTGCCTGGTACAGTGATTTGTTTCCAGGTGCCCGTGGGAAAAATTATACTTCGTAACGTCAACGCCGCGTGAGTCAGTTGAATTGCAATTTCTTTGCCGCAGTGTCCTCATTTCTGAACTTAAAGTTTAACAGCTGTCATGAAAATGATCAACGCAAAAACCGCTTTCAAGGTGCTCTGACCAAAGCAGGGCTGGGGGGGGGCGTTGAAAAATGGTCTCAAATCAAGTTGCAAAAGTATTGGAAATGGCAATCGCTGCTGGAAAACCATAAGCTGCAGTCCTGAGTGCTGCAATCTGTCCGGAAAGAATCTGAATTCATGAAAACAAAAAACAACTCGCCCTGACTGTTGTTTGATGACCTGTTTGAACAGCGAAGCCGATCGTTTTCCTCCAACAACTTGAGTCTAACTTGGGGCGAAAAAGAAAATTGTTATTGACTTCTTGCTGGAACACACACACACGCACACATTTTCTGCATTCTTGCTCCCTTCAAAACACAAACTCAGATTTTGGTTCTGCTCAGTTTCTTAATGGGTTAGTAGCCTATTAATGTTTGTTCTTTTACCGTCTCTCTAAACATGTCAGTCATTTTGAAGCATCGTCAGTTTGGTGACTCAATGTACCTGTGAAAGAGATGAGTCAAGATGTCCCAGGTGCCACTGCATCATGGCTTGGACTTTCCATCCGGGCGTAGAGGTGAAGGTCGGGATGCACTTTGTCAGGTCTGAACGACACGCAGGCGCTGCCCACCAGCGCTCGCCCGGACCGACGCACCTTGGGCTACCGCGGACAGCGTGGCGCACTGTGCAGTTTTTTTCTTGCGATGAGGTTTACAACTTTGAAACAGGGAAAAAAACCGAACCATGATATATGATTTGAATGCATAGCATTAATCAAACAACGTTTAGTAATATACCGTGACCTGCCAAAACCTGGAAAAAAGGAGAGTGTAACGCTGTGGAGGCCCCATTTTTACAGTGTTGTGATAATTTTGATAGTTTATGTTTATTTATACTTATAACTCATAACCTGTTCTTCTTGATATTCTTTAATGTCTTCTGTATTACTTGTTTTTGTTGCATTGCTATTTGTTTCGTATTCACTTTGGTTCTGTAAAAACTTATGTAGAATAGCAAACTAGGGGTGGAGGTAGGGCCCATATCCTCGGTTCCAAATTGTGTTCCTTCTTCACAAAAGCAGACTATAAGTAAACCCATGGCAAGTAGCAACAAATCAAGAGTTGTATCTTCATATGATTATAAACAAAAATACGTATATACAGTGCACCCTTGCGTTTCAATACCAACAAATGATTAATGAAATAAACATGTGAACCGATATGTTAAACTGGCGCACGTTTTGACATCACCATAGCCGTTGTTTATACAACTATTTCTATTGCTTCGATTTGGTGGTTTTTACAAGCAAACATTGAAGTACAGCCTTGTCACATTGCAGGGGATGCAAGCAGTTGTAGATGCAAAAATTATATCAAAGGTTAAAGCCTCACAAGATTACTTAGGTTTTGTCCCAGGATTCTCCAATGATTCCAATGTGAGTCAATATAGTTGGCATGAATCACAGGAGCCACAAATGAATAACAAACATGTGAGGTCAGATTTTAATGGCTCTACCAAGCCTTGTAACCAAGTGCTAATTCCATCACAAACTAAGAGTGATCATGGAAAGGCATGGAGCAAATAACTCTTCCGAAGTATACACAGTGCAAAACCATGTTTTCCAACGTTTTGGTGCACATGGAATATGAAAGATCACTTGTACCCAAGCATAGAGCATCATGGCAAAATCAATCTTACATGCACGTAGCAGTGATCACCTTCAACCCATCACAAGCACATCCATTCCAGAAACTTAGTCTGATGCAAAAACCTGTGGCAATCAATTTTGTTTGCATTTGTGCTCTTGTCAGTGGAGTCAACCTGAACTTGCCATTGCCATGTGCATCTTTTTCTTGCAAGCCAGCCATGCAAGCAAACTGTGCACCTATCAATAGTGTCACATCCAAGCTGCACACACAAGCTGCACCAGCAGAGAGCATGCATATACATTACACAGATCATCATGGTTGGTCAAATTGCATATGTTCCTCATTGGCAAAGCCTGCAGGGCCTGCAGGGCCTGCAGGGCAGTGGGTTGTATTGTGTTTTTCATGCTACGCAAATGTTTTCCAGCCGGCATGAAAAGAATATGGGAAGAGAATGCTGACATCAAATTCTGAGTGAATGCACTGACCAACCAAGTTGGACTGCCTGTGGACAGTGCAATCAAAGCAGAAAGTATCTCCAAGGATATGCCTTCATACAGCCATGGCAAGGAGCAGCTCTATCATAACAGTGAAACGGAAGATTGCAAAAACTTATGCTAACACCTTCTTACCAATAAAAAAATGCTGGATGTTACGCATTTTCTGAATGGTACTACCAGGTTAAGATATTAGCACCGGTGACCCTAGCTAGCTAGTTTTTGAATTATCATGCAACAATGAATATAAGTAATCATTGCACTATGTCATGGGTTGCCATCTTGTGTTTGTTGTATTGATATGTTGCAGCACTATTGGTGGCTCTATTTGAAATCAAGTTTTGACTGACCAATATGTAGAGTTGAACTGCCCAAATACCTCAAGGAGAGTATATTGGCCAAGCCAATTATGAAAGGTATGCTTCCCTGGGATGACTGCAGATGGTTATTCAAGTTTACTTATTCAAATAAATATCGAATTTTCTGGGCATGATGAATGTTCTTTAAAAAAATGGTTATTGTAAAAATAAAACGCATATATACTGTATATACTGTATATACTGTATATACTGTAACTGTAAATACATACATACATAACATAACATAATATAACATTACATTACATTACATTACGTTACGTTACATTACATCACATCACATTACATACATACATGCATACATGCATGCATACATACATACATACATACATACATACATGTGTACATACATACATGTGTACATACATACATGTGTACATACATACATGTGTACATACATACATACATACATCCATGCATGCATGCATGCATACATACGTGCATGCATACATACGTACATACATACATACATACGTACATACATACATGTGTGCATACATACATGTGTGCATACATACATGTGTACATACATACATACATACATACATACATGCATGCATGCATGCATGCATACATGCATACATGCATACATGCAAGCATGCATAAATGCATACATGCATACATGCATGCATGCATACATACGTACGTACGTACGTTACATTACATTACATTACATTACATTACATTACGTACATACATTATATATATATATATGTTGCTCTTCATAGTGTTTCTTATCTTGCCATCATGTAATGACCCTTGTAGTTGGACAACATGGTCCCAAGACGTAGTGTCATGCTTTTTGCTACTTAGCATTCCCTTGCTATGCATTGAAGAAAAGCATGTTTTAAACACATGATGGAAAGGCCTCATCCAAGATGAGATGGGTTATAGTTGGCATTAGTTTAAAGATAATAAGTCTGCAACATTGTTAAAACTATATAGTTGGATTTCTAAACTGATGATGGCGATTTCGTTTAGTAAGCAATGCATAGACCGTTCAGCCAGACTGTCCGGAGCGACGTCCGACTAGATGGTCCGGCAAGACGGTCAGCCTAACTGTCCGGTTTGAACGTCTGGTTGTAATGAACCGGATTGATTCTAGCCAGTCAATCTGGTCAGATCGTAAATGGATGATCGTAAAAACAGCTAAGTCTTCGGGTCTCTCAGAAGTAACTAAGTAGCAGCCTTTCTGGGTCGGAGGGGGGGTCAAAAAAAACGAAACAAACAGAAAAAAGCATTTTTTTCGAACTCCCCCTACAGACGATTAAGCAGTCTACAAAAAGAAACAGTCACAATATTTGGTGCCAATTTAGTAGAAAGCTTTTTAGACAAGTGAAAGATAGATACGGTTTGAAACGAATTGAAAAGGAAAGGAGACATGGACATAAGGACAAAGTAATTTAAAAAATATATATATAAATATAAAAAACATTTAAATAACAGTGTTCTAAAAATCATATTAAGGCGTGAGATATTGCAAGACGTGAAAGACAATCCACACAAATGTCTCATCTTACGTTTTGCTGTATTTCCAGAAACGTGGTAAAATGGGGCCCCCATGGCGTGGCTTTCTGGAAAAAGTAGGGTCTCAACACAAAATCAGGTTTTTCATGCTTGGCATTCCAAGTACCCAGGTTTTGGCCCGAAAACAGAGGTTTCCGTGAAATACCATGAAAACCATGTCCAACTTCACCACAGCCATGTTTACTGGCACAAAATTTTGCGTGAATGGACAATGACAGATCAGAAAAAACCAAAAAGATCCGATTTTGCCACTGAAGATCCAAGGAATGCCTTATTTACATGCAATTGGGCACGCGCGCTCTCAGAGCGCCGGGCTATGCTATTTTGCGGTCTGGCCATGAATTTTGCATGCGTTTCTGACTGTGTATTTTGTGACTGACCTCCGGTAAATTCCATCAAATTTGGGGGCGTAGCTGCTGAACTTATCACTAGTTTGCTAAAATACATTTTTTGAAGATCGGGCCATATGTACACGTTGCCCAATAAGGAATCCGCAATTCTTGAATGTTTGATAACTTTGGCTGCTTTCTGATCAGACTTTTCCTGAGAATATAGGGTTCAGACCGAACACTTATATTTTACCAATTGAAAACCCATAATCTTCCCATACAACCCATAAAATTTCAAAAAACTCGGTTTTCCCAACCGTCAAAAATCAATAATTTCCGCGAAAACCCGAAAACATATGTGTTTTGTGGTTCATCAAGATCCCAGGGTTTCCGGGAATTTTGGTGGCCTGCATCCAAATTGAATTTTTCTGGGGACGTGCAAGTACCACAGGAGTAGGGCGTTGATTTTGCAATCCCCGGGGATCTGTGCACATAAATAGGGTCAAATCGGAAATGCGTGCAAATATGAGGCCATTTCTGACGATCGCACATAGCATCAAATAGCGCATGCGTGGTCTAAATATGTGACAGTCGGAGATCGTATTTTGTCGGGAAAAAGGCTATATTGGCTTCAAACTGCCTGCCAGTTGCATGACAAACCATGACGGACTGCGGCAGGAGATGAAAACATGATACTTCAATCTTGGGCAGTGCCGGAAAATGCCGAGACAAACCGTGACAAACTGTGATAAGGGTCAGCGGCTATGCCCTCAAATTTGCTGGAATTTACCGGAAGCCAATCGGAAAATAAACAGTCGGAAATGCGCGCGCAAATCACGGTTAGACCGAGAATATAGCATAGTCGGACGCTCTGACAGAGCGCATAATGCAAGCAATAAAGCATACATTGGATCATCAGGGAATGCTCCCGCATGCTTGCTAAAATTTTTCTTTATTTGATGGGGTGGTAAGAAATGCGAAGAAAGGGGTGCAGCACTTCTATAGGCTTAGCACGGGGTCTGTTGCCATATCTCTTCGCAGTCAATCGATCACGTGATTGTTGTGCTCAAAGTCAGCCGAAACCATAAAGATTGCAAAACGCGCAGCCTTGATTTGCCGTTTTTTCTTAAACCATTTCTTTTTCAGGGTTTGGTTGCTACTTAAGGTATTTACATCATTTACATAAAACAGTTGGTGCAACGTGCTGCAACCGTAGACGGAACAATGTAGAATATCAATGAATATCATGTAACTTTCGGGCAACATGTTTCATTATGATTCATGCTACGTTACAATATCCTTGCTCTGTTTCACAACCTTTCGTTCGCACGTCATTTATATACATGTCATGTTGCCCCTCAATGGAAACTGCAACGGGCTGACCAAAAATCAAATTTCATCCCAAAGGTGCAGCCAGTACCTTTACCTGCGCAAAACATGCATGAGAAAGGATCAATGGGATGGACACCCGTGGAAAGAAGTGAAGACCTTCAAAACTCTCCCTCTTTCTTCCTTGGTAATCGAAATTTAAGGGCCGAAAAAAGCAAAAGGTTCTGTGCAGGAAAGTAAGCAGATAAACAGGAAACAGAGAGTAACGTAATTGTCCAGCTTCTAGACACTTCGCAAAGTAGGATCCATCTGGTTGTTGCACCATGCCATCATAGTCCCCAGAAAACCTCACCACAAAAAGCCAATCACACTGCGGCTTTTGAAACCAAGAGCTGCACAAAGGTTCACTTCCCAACATAAACCAAAAACACGGGAAGCTAACATGAAACAAACCAATGGAGCCAACCCAGAATTCTACTGGGACCTATTGAATCTATTGACTCACTGTTCTGATCATGCTTGGCGTGCTAGAACTGAAACCATTCAATGGAGGCAGGAAACCTGCCGGAATCAGCTCTTGATGGTACTGCATCTGATTTAAAGCCAGGCAACTGAACATATGCATTCATTCGACCCGAACTGAAGTCTGTATCGCTACAACGTGCCAGTTCCAGAGTAAGATGATGTTTGTCTGTGAAATGTTATTGCCGCGAATGTCATATCACGTTGCTGGCAAATGCTGATCCCGATTGACATTGTCAGTAGTGGCCTGAACCCGGCAAGGGCTCTGTACAAGCAACAATTTGAAATCGGCAGGAGGAGTTTTCATGTCTTCCACACCTGCCAGGTGAAGGTCTTTAGATTGTAACAAACCTTCCTTCCTTCTTCCGCCATCCTCCTCCTTGTGCCAGCTTGTGGTCACGGTAGGCATCAATTGGGCATCGCCAGCTCACATGAAATATGGCGAGCTCCACGTCTGTCTGGGCAGCGACCGATGGCAAACTCCAGAGTGGTCTGGGCAGACCCGAACCCTATCGCGGCCGGCAAGTGAGTTAGGCCCGCACCAACCGGCACACATGGACCGAAACCCTATGGCAAGCTTCAGCTCAGTCTGGGCACGGACGGGCCCGAACATATGCCACAAAGAATGTCAGATAGGATGCCAGAAGAGATGCCAGAAAGATACCAGAATAGATGCCACATAGAATGTTGGAAATATGTTAAACAGACTGTCAGAATACGCCAGAAAATGTGTCAGGTTGAATGTCCGAAGAATGCCAGATAGAATGTCAGTAAATATGAAAATATAATGTCAGAAAGAGTGCAAGGTAGAATGTCAAAAAATATGTCACACCGAATGCCACACAGAATTTCAGAACACAGGTCAAACCAGAAAGAATGCAAGATAGAATGCCGACATGTATGCCAGGTACAATGCCAGTAAGACTGTCGGAAAAAGATCAAACACAATGCCAAGAAGCAGGTCGCATTAGAGGTCACATAGAATGCCAGAAAGGATGCCAGGTGGAATGTCAGGCATCAAGCCAAATGAAATGTCAGATGGAGTGCCAGATGAAATGTTAGACAATGTCAGTTAGAATGTCATAAAGGATGTTAGGATATATGTAAAATAAAATGCCAAGACGGATGCCGGCTAGAATGGCAGGCAAAATGCCGGATGAATGTCAGATAGAATGCCACGTGGAGTGTCAGATGGGATGCCCAAGAATTTGTCAGTTAGAACGCCAGAAAAACTGTCAGAAAATGTTCGATGGAATGCCAGACTGGATGCCAGATAGAATGACGGATGAATGTCAGATAGTGCGCCACATGAAATGTTATACTTTTGTCAGCCAGAATGCCAGCGCAAGTGCCAGAAAGAATGTCAAAACAAATATCGGGCAGAATGGCAGATAAAATACCGATGAAATGCCAAAACAATCCAAAACATACATCAGATAGAATGCCAGATAGATAGAATAGCAGGGGGATGCCAGAAGACGTGTCAGAATGCATGTCCGATACACTGTCAGCCTGTAGGTCAGATAGACTGCCAGAAGGATGCCAGATAGAATTTCAGAATATAAGTCAGGTAGAATGTCGGTTGGTGGGGATCACTCGAAGGATTTTTTTTCTTGCTTCGCCCTTGATTCCGGGGAGCAAAATCTCTCAACCGCTTTGACACGCTTGATTGTCAAGACAGGGGGTTCCTTCACTTGAGGCCTCACCGCTCACTGGGGATAAGGAAGGGTCATGCAACGTGTTTGTTTTGGTTGGTATGGGTCTTGGTGTAGCCCTTCCCCCTAGCACATCTCGAGGCCTAGCGTCATCGGAGAGGCTGCCAAAGTACTTCTTTGGATCGTGGTGCGTCGTATTGTAGCCTGATCGGGATTGGGCACGGGTACCGGATAAACTTCTTGCAGGCTGCAAGTCAGTATCGTACATGGCATCAATCATCAAGGCTGAAAGCAACTTGATCCTACATCATGGGGGATTTTATCTGGGTAAACAACCGCCAGGAGAGCGCTGCCTTGTTGACAATTTGTCGGAAGAACAGCTAAGAATATACCGTCATTCAGCTATTTGACTTCTTTTGCATTGATCACCCGGTTAGGATTTGAGCCTGGTCAGAGCTGATCAAACGTGCTCAGGCTGGACTGTTGGAATTTGATCTTTTGGGGATGCAGCCGTCACCCGAATCCGAGCGGATGCTGCTATGAGGTTCACGCCGCTAATGATGTGAACCATCATGATGCACATGTCTAATCTTTTGAACTGTAACAAGTCCTGGCTGTGGAGCATGCAAAGCAATACTTGAAATCAATTGACCTACTGAGGGTATAGTGACAACTCACCAAGGCCCTATTAGAAATATCTTGTGAGGAAGAGGATAATCCCAATCTGTTGGAAAACGGTTTGCCTTCAGGTTCGGGTAAATCCGTAAAAATTGGTTTTCATACTTTTGTGGAACCTATGCTGGGGCTTTAACGATTGATCCATGCATTTCCGATCACTGCGCTTTGGCTTGTATCGGAACCTTATCTCCTTGCGCAAGGGACTTGAGAATGCTGTTTTTAAAAAAAGGCGCCCTCGACTAAACTACCTCAACTAAGGGCATGGGGATAAATATGAAGCTTTCAACTTTGGCCCTGCTACTGCCCACAGCTACCCGCCATTACCCGCTACTAGCCAATTCTCCCGAAGACTGCCCGAAGCTACTACCTGCTACTGCGAAGCGCTATTGCTCCTGCTTTTTCGCCTACTACCCCTACTACTCCTACTACTCTTGGAACTACAGCAACAACTACAGCAACAACTGCAGCAACAACTACAGCAACAACTACAGCAACAACTACAGCAACAACTACTGCTACTATCACTGCTGCTGCTGCTGCGCCTGCTGCTGCTCCTGCTCCTGTTCCTGCTGCTGCTTCTTCTACTGCTACTGCACAAGGGAAGTTTAGAAGCTTAAGCTCCGTTATACGGAAACAAATGTGGAGAAAGTAGTGAAGCGAAGGAAGCAGAAACGGTAAGATAGTAGGGAAGTAGAGAGATGAAGAAGAGGGAAGCGAAGAAAGTAGGGAAATGAAGAAAGTAGTGAAGTGAAGAAAGTGGAGAAGCGAAGAGTAGGGAAGTGAAGGAAGTAGCGAATGCAGAAAATAGGAAAGCGAATCAAAAGTAGACAAGTGAAGGGCAGGGAAGTTAAGACAGTGTACAGAAGTGCTGCCCTAGGCCCACTCTGATTTGCAAGCCGTGCTTGCACAGCGCAGCCGACTTGCGCTGTCAAGGTGGCTGTTGAAGGTTAGGAACCGCACAGGGCCTTTGTGATTTTCCGCGCGCAGTGGGCTCAGTGTGGATGTGGGGAACCAGGTTTGTGCGCCGGGTGTGGCTCGCGCTCGGCCGCGTCCTCCATGCTCAAGTTGACTTTGGCGCGCAAAGCGGCTGCATCCATTTTTTTGGATGCTGTGGTGGCCGACGCAGTTCCACTCTGATTTGCCAGCCATGCTTGCGCAGCGCCGGCGACTTGCTCCGTCTAAGGTTGAAGTTTCGGGACCGCGCCAAGCCTTATATTTTTCTTGACGCCCTGCGTCCCGGCGTCGATGTGGGGAACCTGGTTTGGTGGCTTGCGCTCGGATGCGTCCTTCATGCACAAATTCAATTCAGGCTTGCAAAGCGCATTGGAACGGCTGCGTCCATGTTCTTGATTGCCCGAGTGGTTCAAATTGCTTCCTCAATGTGACTGCTGAAGGTTGGGAACCGGCGAAGCCTTTTTTTCCACGTAAAGCGCATTTCCCGGCGTCGATGTGGGGAACCTGGTTTGTGCGACGGGTGCGGTTTGCACGGCTTGCGATCGAATGTGCCCCGGCACGTCGCCCATGCGAAATTTAAAACTCGGTCAATGGGAAGGGATATCTGACTGCGCTGTTCCATCGGGTTTGATGATTGAGGGTTGCGGTTTGCATTGGACTGTCCGCAGCCATGTTCTTGATTTCGGCGGTGAGTGATGCAGTTCCATTGCGGTTTGCAATTGATTGTAGATAGCACCCGCGTTGCCTCGTGAAGTTGGTTGTTGAAGGGGTTAAGAATTGCATAGGGCCTGGTTTGCGCGGCCTGCGCAGCTTGCGATCGAGTGTGCTTGGACGCGTCTCCCATGCCAAAGTTGTAGTCAGGTACGTCATGACTGACTGCGCTGTGCCATCGGGCTTGGTGATCGAGGGTTAATGGCTGCATCAAGGTTTCGTTCTGTGGTATTTTGCAACTGGCCGTCGTAAATCGTTTTGGCCGGCCGCGTCAGAGTTGCGGAGATGATTTTGAAGTGCTGTTTCTTTTCGGTTCTCGGCGCCTATCAGTGACCTTGTAAAGTTCATTCTACAAACTGCTTCAAAATCGTGCCTTTTTTACTTTTGGTGCCGAGATTCCGGTTTTGGGGCGGCAATTTCTGTTGTCAAAAGCTTTCGCCTGTAAAACCTTCTGTGTGTACAAGCTTCTGCATGTAAAAGCTTGTCTGTACAAGATCTTCCGTGTAAAAGCATCTGCACGTAAAAGTGCCTGTGACTGTGTAAAAGCTTATCTGTGTAGAAGCTTCTGAGGGTGAAAGCTTTGCGTGTGAAAGAGCTTCTGTGTGTCAAAGCTTCTGTGTGCAAAAGCTTTCGTTGTGTGGAAGCCTTCTCTGCGTAAACGCTGTCTGTGTGCAAAAACATCTGGGTGTAAGACCTTTGTGTGCATAAAAGCTTCTGTGTGTAAGAGCTTTCTGTGTGTGTGAAGGCTTCTGTGTGTAATCTTTCCCTGTGTAAGAGCTTCTGGATGTAAAAGCTTTGCGTGTGTCTGTGTGTGTGTGTCTGCGCGTAGAAGCACCTGTGTGTAAGAGCTCTCTGTGCGTAAAAAAATCCCTGTAAAAGCGTTTGCGCAAAAGCTTTCAGCGCGGAAAGACTTCTGCGTGTACAAGAAGGAGCTTGCTGTGTGCAAGAGCAACTTTGTGTACAAGCTTCTGTGCGCGAAAGCTTTCTACATGTAAAAGCTTTCTGTGTGTGAAAGTTGCCTGTGCGTAAAAGCTTCTGCGTGTAAAAGCTTTCCGTGTGCGCAAGTCTTTTGCGTGTACAAGCTCCCGTGTGTAGAAGTGTCTCTGTGCAAAAACATAGTGCGTAAAAGCTCTTGTGCATACAAACT